ATGAAAAGGTGTCATAAGAAAGAGGAAAGAGGCTTGTTTTCTGCTGCCCTGGAAACTAGGACTCAGAGCAATAGATTCGAATTACAGGAAAGGATATTCCACTTGAACATTAGGAAGAACTTCCTGAACATATGAGATGTTCAAGTGGAACTCTGCCTCGGAGTGTGGCAGAAGCTCCTTCCTTGAAGCTTTTAAATAGAGGCTGGATGGTCATCTGTTAAGAGTATATTGATTTTGTTTTTCCTGCATGGGAGGGGGGTTGGACTAGATGGCCCATGTAGTCTCTTCCAACTCTATTATTCTATGATTCTCTGAAATACTGGCCATGGAGAGTGAGAGCTTACAGCTTCTCAACAGTATCATATATCTGCAGTAGATGGTGAGTATAGATGGAGACGGCTAGATAAAGAGTTGAGTTTAATGTCACTGTGACATTAAAAATAGGTCAGTGGCGATGTCTTCTAGCAATGTGCTTAGCAGAACATTACAAAATACGTCCCTCAGCACACCTGCCATGCGAAGCTTATGTCACTTCATTTAGTGATGGTGATTTGTGTTTTTTCATTGGTTTGAATTTTGACTAATAAGCCATAAATCTAGAGCAGAGGTGGAGAACCTTTTCATATTTCAAGGCTGCATTAATGTAGCTCTAATCAAATAAGGCCACATTCATGAAACTTTAAGTAGATATAAAGGTACATTATGTTGTAAAATCTAATTTACTGTATATACTTGAGTATAAACTGACCCAAATATAAGCCGAGGTACGTAATTATACCACGAAAAAACTGGGAAAACGTATTGACTCGAGTATAATCCGAGGGTGGGAAATGCAGCAGCTACTAGTACGTTTCAAAATAAAAATAGATACCAACAAAATTACATTAATTGAGGCATTCGTAGGTTAAATGTTTTTGAATATTTGAATAAAATGGTAGTTTAAGATAAAACTGTCCATCTCTGATTAAACCATTATTCTAACCTTCTTTAATGTGAATGTGCTTATGTATCATTTCAAAAAGAATAGAGTAGAATAATAAATGTTATAATAATAATAATAATGATGATGACAGAGTAAAATAATGGAAATGTAATAATAATAGAGCAAAATAATAAATGTAATAATAACAATAATAGAGTAAAAAATAACTGTAATAAAAATGATCACAATAATAATAATAGAGTAAAATAATGGAAATGTAATAATAACAATATTAATAGAGTAAAATGTTAAATGTAATAATAATAAATAGAGAAAAATAATGTAAATGTAATAATAAATAGTAAAATAATAAATGTAATAAAAATCATAATAACACAGTAAAATAATAAATAACTTTGACTTGAATATAAGCTGAGGGGGCTTTTTCAAACTAAAAGAGGGTTTAAAAACTTGGCTCATACTAGAGTATATACGGTACTTAAAAATTCTAAAAATGAAAATGATTTTTTATTTTAAAGTTAACTAAATTTTTAATGACTTTGTTGTGTCTCCTCTTTTTGGGAAGCATTTGAATATTTGGTTGCAGCATGAAGGTCTGCAATTTCAGTTGATTGTTTAGATCAGGTCTACACAACATATGGCCCATGGGCGGGATGCCACTGGTCAGGGCTTCCCCTTCGCTGGTCAGAGGAAGTGTGGAGGATTGGTCTGCACATATTTTTTTTAAATCATATTGAACCTTTATAAGTGCCAAGTTGTGCAGACCTGCTCTACATGGGTAGCAGTCATTTGTGGCCTAAAGGGCATCTTGATTTGTGTTAATTGGAGAATGTAGATTCACAACCATAAGTGTTTGAAAAGCAAGAAAGCAATTTTTTGGCATGGAAAGTCTGAGTATTCTACTGCATTATTCCATTTTTCAATTGGATCTCCCTTAGCATCAAACAAAACCTTTAAAATGTCATCTACTGAGAGCTCAATCAGTTCCATTTGTAGTTCTTTTTATGTGCTTTGGTGAGATCAACAGATGAGGTTAAAATGCTAATTTGAGTGTTTTGTCACGATTCTCAAAGTCAGTGAAGCTTTCATTACATTCTCCCATTCATAGGCATATAACAACTGTGTTTTTTTTTCAAATGATTCATATATATCATCCTGCTTATCAGTGCCTTTACTGACTGGAGAAAATATTCATCCAAAATTTCCTTTTAAATAGTCCTTTGAAAAATGGTAAGTTTATCAAAATGTTTGGATTTTTTTTTTGGCCAGGTATCATATATATATACCTAGCTTTACTTTGCAAAGGAATATTGAAATAGATTTTGTTTTGACATGATATCACTCAGAAATATAGAATTCCTATTATTATTATTATTATTATTATTATTTATACCCCACTTTTTCTCTCCACAAGGAGACTCAAAGCAGCTTTCTATGTATCAGCGTTTCTCAACCTGGGAGTTGGGACCCCTGGGGGGGTCACGAGGGGGTGTCAGAGGTGTCTCCAAAGACCATCAGATAATACAGTATTTTCTGTTGGTCCTGGGGTTTCTGCGTGAAAAGTTTGGTCCAATTCTATTGTCGGCAGGGTTCAGAATGCTCTTTGATTGTAGGTGAACTATAAATCCCAGCAACTATCATTCCCAAATGTCAAGGTCTATTTTCCCTAAACTTCACCAGCGTTCACATTTGGGCATACTGAGTATTTGTGCCAAGTTTGGTCCAGATCAATCACTGTTTGAATCCACAGTGCTCTCTGGATGTAGGTGAACCACAACTCCCAAACTCAAAGTCAACGCCCACCAAACCCTTCCAGTATTTTCTGTTGGTCATGGAAGTTCTGTGTGCCAAGTATGGTTAAATTCCATCATTGGTGGAGTTCAGAATGCTCTTTAATTGTAGGTGAACTATAAATCCCAGCAACTACAACTCCCAAATGACAAAATCAATCCCCCCACAACCCCACCAGTATTCAAATTTGGGCGTATCAGATATTTGAGTCCAATTTGTTCCAGTGAATGAAAATACATCCTACATATCTGATATTTACATTACAATTCATAACAGTGACAAAATTACAGTTATGAAGTAGCAATTAAATTTTTTTTTTGTTGGGGGTCACCACAACATGAGGACCTGTATTAAGTGGTTGCAGCATGAGGAAGGCTGAGAACCGCTGCTATATATAGACTTCTTATAGATATCTTTCAAAATCACATTGCTGATTTTTTTCGTAGAATTTAATTCTATGAAAAAATAAAATTTTGGTTATTCTCGTCCCTGCGATAGCCAATGCCCTTTAGAATGATATCGCAGATCCACACTGAAGATCTCGTTGTTCAACTTTAGCATGTTACAAAACAGACAATGCCATGTTACATTTGCACCAATGTAGTACTTATAACTTGTTGCAAAGTGTCACTTAAAATAGTAGCTTTAGCACAGAGCTTTTGCTGATGCATGATACAGTGAAAAGGAATGAGAGCATTTGGATCCATTAATACTTTTATCTGTGCAATAAACTCTTCGAAATTTGATGTCATGAAAGGTGTACATACACTCAGTAAATTTTCCAAATTTCATCCAACTTCATGACATTTATCTTGAAAGTTATTGAAGATACATGTTCCTTGTGTTCTGTTTGCAAGAGTGCCCGAAGCAAGTGACTCGTTGCAGAAAAAAAATTCTATTATGATTCAAATGAAGACTAAAACCTGTTCTGAGTCTGTAATATCAGTGGATTCATCCGAAACGATTGAATAATATATTTCCTTTTGAAGTATTTATTTCAATTGTTCTGTTATGCTGAAAGCTATCCACGCCACCAATCTGTTATGGTTCTCCTTGAAAGAGGCTGTGCTTTGGAACGTTATTGGGTTCTAAGCATTCTGCAATTTTGACAGTGCGTTCTTTCACAGTGTCTACATTGCTGAATGGCATTCCTTTTCCCCTCAAGTATATATGTTACTTTATTTGTTGCTTCAGTGGCATTATTTCCAGGTCTTATTGCTGCTTGAAATAATTGGTTTTTTTTTACTTTTGTTTGGATGGGTTGATGACCCCCAGGCTCTTCCCAAAAGCCAGAACATTTTTTGGCTCTTGAGACCATGAGATCCATAAACAAATCTAGAGCAGTGTCCTTTCTGTCCTTTCATGGAGAAGATGAGAGACAAGTGAAGTGGAATCTGTCAGCATTTTCAAGATATGTCCAAATTATGCTCTCAAGACTCAGGTGACAGCTCAAAGAGCAATTTAATTGCACACCAACTCTACTCCATTCTTGTCTTTTTCATGTGAGGAAGTCAAAAAAGGACAAGGCAATAGACCCATAACTTTGAGACTAGGTAATTTCCATTGTTGTCCTATCACTCTTCTGAGTTAGCGGGGCTTCAGGGAAAAAAAATGTTGATGGGCTGCTTAGGAACACGACATTTGACCAGCAGGATACAGCTTCCTCCTCTCTGATATAGACCATAAAACTGGATTAGATGAAGTGCAATCTGTGGGTCACTTGAGGCTTCAGTGACATGGTTGTGGCTTTGAAAGCCTCTCTCAAAAAATAGACATACTTTAAATTTTTTTACAGAACCTAAACACGTTTTTCCAAACAGCTTTTGTGCCATTCTCACACTGTCATGATATCAATGGAGCCCCTACTGGTGCAATGGGTTAAACCTTTGTGCCAGCAGGACTGCTGACAAAAGGTCAGCGGTTCGAATCCCGTCCATCAGCTCCAGCTTCTCATGCAGGGACATGAGAGACACCTCCCACAGGATGGTAAAACATCCGGGCAATGTCCTTGCAGACAGTCAATTCTCTCACATCAGATGCGACTTGCAGTTTCTCAAGTTGCTTCTGACGTGAGAAAAAAATGATATCAATACAGTAACTTAATCTATTTTGTTTGTGACGTTGTTTCTGTAAATTCTGCTTCAATTAAGAAAAACTTGAGATCAGGTATGTTGGAAATACAGGGTATTCTCTCCCCATCCTCATGATTTTTAATACCTTGCACTTGAATTATATTAACCCCTAGTCATTCTGCTGATTTCTACAGCTCCAAGTACCAGTGCCAACTCAGTTGCCTCCTCCTCAGCTTCAGTCAACATTTCAGCATCAGCAGTAGCCAGCATTTCTCAACAGGTATGTCTTCCTGCTACAGAAATAAGCCTGAAATCGTGGTGCTGGTTTAACTGAACTGCAGAAGAGTCCCACCATTTTTATCCAGAAAACATACTGTAACACAAGGCTTCCAAAACCAAGATGTTTATTTGTTTATTTACAACATTTATATCCCACCTTCACATCCCAAAGGGGACTCAGAACAGCTTACATATGTAAATACAATATATTATATTATTAGCATAGCACAATATTAGTAACATACATTCCCATATTGTACTACACCAGTATACTGTAATATTAATTAACTACTACTAGAAAGACCATCACTAATTGTAGTGATGAAAAAGTATCTAAACACAGCAATTCAATGTATACATACAAATATAAATGTCATTAAAACATAGGATTATTACATTCACATTAAACAGAAATAATTCTTTTCTCAAAAGATGAAAAAAATCTGGTTAATGTGAATGTAACAATCCTATGTTTTGCTGACATTTGTATTTTTATGTATACACTAGCCGTCCCCTGCCACGCGTTGCTGTGGTCCAGTCTGGTGATCTGGAAAATAAAGTAATGAGAAAGTGTTGGTTTCTAATATATGTAATTTCTTTCTGCTTGTGGGTAAACAGTATTTCTTGTTGTTTCTTTGTCAGTGTTGATGTGGAGAGTGTCTGGTTTGCCTACTCTGGATCATGAAACATATTACTGTCCTTCTTTAGGGGTCCCTTTCAAATACTATATCTGTGTGTGTGTGTAAATCATATCTATCTATATTTATGACTGGATGGCTATTTGTCAGGAGTGCTCTGATTACATTTTCTTGCTCTGGTGAAGGGAGTTGGACTGGATTGCCTTAAGTATTTTCTGTTGGTCATGGGGGTTCTGTGTGGGAAATTTGCCCCAATTCTGTCATTTGTGGGATTCAGAATGCTCTTTAATTGTAGGTGAATTATAAATCCCAGTAACTACAACTCCCAAATGTCAAGGTCTATTTTCCCCAAACTCCATCTGTATTCATATTTGGGCATATAGAATATTTGTGCCAAGTTTGGTCCAGATCCATCATTGTTTGATCCACAGTGCTCTCTGGATGTAAGTGAACTACAACTCCCAAACTCAAGGTCAATGCCCACCAGATACTTCTGTTGGTCATGGGAGTCCTGTATGCCATGTTTGGTTCACTGCCAATTTTGGTGGAGTTCAGAATGCTCTTTGATTGTAGGTGAACTATAAATTCCATCAACTACAACTCCCAAATGACAAAAGCAAAAATTTTGAGTGAAGGACATACATTGAGTTGTTAGGTGTATGCCATCCAAATTTGGTGTCAATTGGCCCACTGGTTTTTGAGTTCTGTTAATCCCACAAACTAACATTACATTTTTATTTATATAGATTGAATTTCTATATGTTTAGATACTTTTAAATCACTACAATTAGTGGATACTGTTCTTTCTAGTTCCAAGGGAACCCATTTTCCTTTTCAGTAATAATCAACTACTACTCCCGTGACCCATTGCTTTCCTCTTTTGCAAATTTAAATTTCAATGCAGAATGGAAGTAGCATTTGAATGTGCAGAAGTTTGTTCTTGTAGATGGATGGATGATCTCAACGAGACATTGTCAAATTTCGGCCCTCCAGGTGCTTTGGACTCCAACTCTCACAATTCTGTGAGGAATTGTGGGAGTTGGAGTCCAAAGCAGCTAGAGGGCCAAAGTTTGCCCATGCCTGATGTAAACTAAAATATTTCACCTTAGTCCCATAGAAACTGGAATACTAATTGCTAACTTTGAACATTGATTTCAGTAGGACATAGGGAGAGTTTTGATTGCCCTTCTGTGTACATTCAAGGGGAACAAGATTGTAAGGAAAGCGATAATCCTATCCGTATCCAATTTTGATGGCTAATGTCTCATACACATGAGGCCATTATGGAAGTGTGCTTCATTATTTGTGTGTACGAATGTACAAATTCTATGTACGAATTCCAATTTGCAATGTACAAATTCCAATTCTATGTACGAATTCCAATTTGCCCCTATACGGGGAGCATCGTTACGCATGTTTGCTTATTCATTCTGGTCCATATAGAATACAGTAAAACTTGGAAAAGTTACAGTAAAACTTGGAAAAGTTACTTCCAGAATCCTCCAGTCAGTAGTGATAATTCTGTTCGGGGATTCTGGAAATTGAAATTCGAAAAGTAACATTTCCAGGGAAGGAGGGAGAAGTTGGCTTGGGGTGTGATGTTTCTTCTTATGTGTTGTTTTTGTCCATGAGCAGTTTTTCCAAAGTGTTATTTAATTTTTAACAGGAGTATCCTACATACACGATCATTGGTCAGGGTCAATACCAGCCATATTACCCAAGTTCAGCCTTTGGCGTGATAACACCAGCAGACGGCAGCACAGCGAGTGCCACATTGACACCGACCACATACCCTTCTGAAAAACCAAATGCCATGGTGCCTACTCAGACAGCGCAAAGTCATTCCTCTGGTAATTGGATGGGGAACGGGCAGATAGCAAAGTGGATTTCAGTATTTATCCTGTTTATATATAATTCCTTGCACATCTATATTAGTATTGAAGCTGACATATGTTTGTGCAGAGAGCAACATCTGTCTTTTGTATTGGTTTATACCAGTGGTTCTCAACCTGTGGGTCCCCAGGTGTTTTGGCCTACAACTCCCAGAAATCCCAACCAGTTTACCAGCTGTTAGGATTTCTGGGAGTTCAAGGCCAAAAGATTGAGAACCCACGGGTTGAGAACCACTGGTTTATACAATGCATTTCTCTTGGGAGTTCTGGGTCATTTTTTCTGACTAGATCTCAACTTCCACTTAGTTATATAATTTAGTTAACTATTGATGTATGTTTATGCGCCACATATTATCGTAATCCTGTAAATCAGGGCTCCCCAAACTAAGGCTCACAGGGCAGATGTGGCCCTCCAAGGTCATTTACCTGGCCACCGCATTAAACCTTAGACTTAAGGTTGCCCTAAATCTGAAACGACTTGAAGGCACATAACAGTAACAATCCTAATTAACTTGACTATCTCATCAGCCAAAAGCAGGCCCACACTTTTTGAAATACTGGGAAGTTTATGTTGGTTAAAATTGTTCTGTATTTTTAATATTGTGTTGTTCTTTCATTGTTTTGTACTACAAATTATATATATGCAGTGTGCATAGGAATTTGTTCGGTTTCTTTTCAAACTATAGTCTGGCCCCTCAGCAGTCTGAGGGACTGTGAATTGACTCTCGGTTCTAAATTTATTTAATTTTTTAATGTCAGGAGCGACTTAAAAAACTGCAAGTCGCTTCTGATGTGAGAGAATTGGTCGTCTGCAAGGACCATTGCCCAGGGGATGCTGGGATGTGTTACCATCCCGTGGGCTTCTCTCATGTCCCCCCCCCAATGGGAAGTTGGAGAGTTGGAGCTGACATATGAGAGCTCACCCCATCTTCTGGATTCGAACCGCCGACCTTTCAATCAGCAGTCCTGCTGACACAAGGACTTAACCCATTGTGCCACTGGGAGCTCCTTCTCGGCTTCAAATGATGTCCCACCTTTTAAACAATAAAAAGGACTTTGTCCTAAATCAAATATTTACGTTCGATCTGTGGGAATAGAAGCAAGCTTCCAAGTTCAAATTGATGCAGTCAACCTCTAATTTGAAGTAAAAATTGGATTTATGCAGACTTTGGAAAAAATAATTAATTTCCTCATTGGTGGAAGCATTTAAAATGTAACCAATTACTATTACTAATTACAATGATGCAACTTGGTAGATTTCACAAAGCAACAAAATAATAACTTTTCCATTGCTTTCTATTCTTTTTGTGCAGGAAGAAAAACAGTATGGATAACAAAATAGCAGATAACTTTCTGTCAAACCACCCCTAAAATGCCTTTTAAAGTTACTTTTGAAAACAACAAAAAGAAAAACCTGTTACTATGACATTTGTAAACTAGGTTGGATAGGTGAAATAAGAATATAAAGAATGAAGGTGGGGGGGGGGGGAGTAAGATGTGATTTATTTATTTACAGTATTTATATTCCGCCCTTCTCACTCCGCAGGGACTCAGGGCGGATTACAATGCAATATTGATGGCAAGCATTCAATGCCATAGACATGCAACATATATAGGCGGACACAGGGGCAATTTAACATTCCAGCTTTTTCTGGAATGTTAAATTGAGGGTATGCTCAATTCCGGCCACAGGGGGAGCTGTCACTTTACCGTCCACTTGTGACACCGAGTTCTTGATGGAGTACTTTCTCATTCTTATGCATGCTGCCGGAAGGTTTTATAGTGTCGTAAATTAGTTAAATTAGCCTCCTCACATAAAGCGGTACCTAAATTTCCTACTTGACAGATGCAACTGTCTTTCAGGCTGCATAGGTCAACAGCAAGTTAGATTATTAATGGTCGGGAGCTTACTCTGACCTGGACTGGCTTCAAACTTATGACCTCTCGGTCAGTAGTGATTTAATGCAGCTGGCTACTAACTAACTGTACTAACTGTACTAACTGTACCACAGCCCGGTAAAAGTTTTGTAGAAACAAATTGTTGAAATACAGTTATAGGCAAGGTGAAATAAAACAGATAAATTCAAATTAAAAAGGAATAAAATGTGAGGGCAGGATATTGAGTTGATGAACAAAAGTTGAATTTATAAAATGTGAACTTTAATCAAAATACTTAGATTATATATGTTAATATTACTCATGGATCTGCATTATTTTTAAATGTATTGGTTTGTATTTTACAGATGCTCAAATACAATTAAGTAGAAAAAGAAATATATTTAATAATTTGATAGTTGCCTTTGCTTGTGGAGGGGAGACTGTATTTTTAATATTTTTCTTTTCTTTTTCTTTTTTTAAAGAAAGATATAATTTATTTTTTAGCTTTACATGGCAAGGATGGGGAATGTAATAGGGTGGGAATATTATGGGGTTATTATTGGATTCTTTTTTATTTTAGTGTCTGTTTTGAAAATTAAATTTGAAAATATTTTAAAATATTTTTTAAAAGAAACTGTTGGCCATCTTGTTGGTGGGTTTTTTTTGTTTTTTTATTTTGTTGCTTTATTTAAATTGTGTAAATGCAGTGCTTTTGAGGTGTAGGAAAGCATAACATACTGTAATGTTGCTGTCTGTTTTTGCTAGGAGAACCATCGTTTGCAAAAGCTACAGGAAGTAAGGACACAGATGAACAGTACAGAAAAAATGTGCCTGGGAAAAATAGAGGAAAGAGGAAAGCAGACCCTGCTTCACCACAGGACAATGAACTTGAAGTTGGTTTTCAAGTATTCTTTTCCCTGTAACCTCGATCATTTTTCATTTGAGATTTTAATACAAATTGGGTAGAAGATAGAGAGAAGAATAGTAAAGATAAAGGTTTCCCTTGACATTAAGTCTAGCTGTCTCACACTCTGGAGGGTAGTGCTCATCTCGATTTCTAAGCCAAAGAGTCGGCATTGTCCGTAGACACCTCCAAGGTCATGTGGCCGGCATGACTTCATGGAGTGCCATTACCTTCCCGCCAGAGTGGTACCTATTGAGCTACTCACATTTGCATGTTTTCAAACTGCTAGGTTGGCAGAAGCTAGGGCTAACAGCAGGAGCTCATCCCACTCCCCAGATTCTAACTGCTGACCTTTCAGTCAGCAAGTTAAGCAGCTCAGCGGTTTAACATGCTGTGCCACCAGGGGCTCCAAGGAGAGGAATGCTGTTACATAATTGCAGACACTAAACCTAAGAGTCTTATACAGGCCTGGTCATTGTTCACCCTCTTTAAATTGTAGTGTGCATTACTTGCTTACCTAAAAAGTGGGGAAGCCAGTTCTGCTGCACTGCAGGGGTTTCCTGTTCATATTGCTAAATGTGATGTCCTGAACATCCATCTCAGTTCAACCCTGAGTTCAATCTCAGCTTTAGAATTTTTTGGAAAAATGGCATTCATAACCTTTTTGAAAAGAAAAAAAATGATGTCATATCCTTTTGGCAAATGTGAATCTCCATAAACATCTGGAGACCACCTTTTGAAAACCACTAGTCAAGGAAAAGCATGACCTTGTTAGAAGTCTGATGTTCACAAGCATTCAATGTAATGGCACACAAGTAACTCAGCTGTTAAACTGATAAACCATGTCTTTGAACTGCAAGGGACAAAGACATGCCACTGCACAAAAAAACATATCCTTGGCTAGCAGAGTTTTGAAATATTTCTTTGAAGTTGAAGTTGAAATTGCAGTTGCCCAAAACATATACTCTCCCTCGAAACCTCTTAGTTTAAAAATATGCACTCAGAAGTAAAAAACAGAAAGTCTTCTTTAAAAGGTAACATATCTTGTTTACTCACAAACATCTTGCATTAATTTAGTATACAGGCACATTTCTTATTAAAGTTCAGTTGCAGATAGGATGTAGTTTCTCTGTGTGAACACAGGGCAGCATTCTTAATCAATAGTCCATAGTCCAAAGTATTTAAGTATACATCTTATGAAAGTCCAAACTGTATAAGTGTAAGAGAAAGGCAGGGTACAAATATGGCAATTAAACAAATAAATTTTCAACTTTAACTTTAAATATTCCTATGATGAGCCAAACACTTGGTTCCACAGCCAGGTCTTTAGCTGTCTCCTAAAAGTCAGGAGGGAGGGGGTCAATCTGATCTCACTTGGGAGGGAGTTCCACAGCTGTGGTGCCAGCACCGAGAAGTCCCTGTCCCTCATCTCTGCCAGCCACACCTGTGAGGCTGGTGGGTCCAAGAGCAGGACCTCTCTGGAAGATCTTAATTTACTAAATCATCATTCAGTATGGTGTCATTAGCTATGATGCTCAAAGGTTCCTGAGGTGGAATGATTCTTACATCTCTATAGCCTTTTCAAATTGCTAAAACAGGAGGCAGGGAGGGGAAAATTTGGTGGGAACTCTGTTACCAATACTAACATTGTTTATGATTTCTTTCTCAGCGAGTATTTCTGTGGGACTTGGATGAGACCATCATAATATTTCATTCTCTTCTCACAGGAGCATATGCCCAGAAGTATGGGAAGGTACAGATGCCTTTGTTTTCCGTTCCATTATTTCATATTCACTCTGAGTGTATACGTTCAAATGTCTCTTGTAACAATTCTGTGGCAGTGGATCATGGGCTTTGCTTAGAGAAAGAGTAGAGACAGGGATACTCTTCCAACAGACAGGTGTCTTATGGCATCTCTCATTGAGGACTGTCTCCATTAATAGCCATTTCATCTGATTGTCACTAAGTGGTAGATAAAAGAGGAAGTCCTCTCCCATTAGCATAGCTGAGACTAATGGCCACTTCGTGCCTGCCTTCCCCAAATTGTCTCAGTCAGTTGCTAGATCTCCATAATGCATTTCTTTCCTCTTTTCTCCTTGTTCGATTTTCTTCCTTTCTTATTGTGTCTATCAAATAATTATCTACTATTGTAAAATGGAGATCCAACACACGTCTTCCCTGGCTCCATAAACTACAGCAGAGTAGCAAAGCACAAGGGCAAATGTCTTCACTGTGTCTGGTTGTGATCCCCAGGTTGTACCAGTCAGCTTTTGTATGATATTATTTCTAACATCCACTTTTTGCTTGATATTCAAGCAGTACTTCTTATAAGTCAGAGCACAGTCCAGAGTGTTTCTCAGGTATTTGGGTGTGCTGCAATGCTCCAGTGGGATTCCTTCCTAGGTAATCCTCAGAGCTCGAGATGCTTGTCTGTTCTTAAGAGGAAAAGCATACGTCTGCTTTTTAGATGAATTAAGAATCATCTGGTTTTCCTGTAATAGACAGCAAGCGCACATAAAGCTCCGGAAAGCTTCTGTTCATCCATTTCAACACTTCCTGTGTGAGCGGTGATGGCACGATTGTCAGCGTAGATCAGTGGTTCTCAACCTGTGGGTCCCAGATGTTTTGGACTACAACTCCTAGAAATCCAAGCCAGTTTACCGGAATTTCTGGGAGTTGAAGGCCAAAACATCTGGGTACCCAACATGTTGAGAACCACAGGCGTAGATGAATAAATTACGAACTTTGGCCCAAAAGCATGGTGCTGGTTGCTGAAACTGATGAACAGCTCCATTGCATCCTGTCAGATCCCTAAAATCTGGAGGAAATCAAGAGTCATAGCCATTTTGAAACCAGGCAAAGACCATAATGATCCAAAAAGCTATAGATCAATCTCCTTGTTGTGCCATCTTTACAAAGTTCTGGAGAGATTTAGTTTGCATAGAACTATGGAAAAAATAGACCCATGTATGATTCCACAGCAAGCTGGTTTTAGGAAAGGCAAAAGCTGCACATCACAAGTTTTGAATCTGCACTCATTGGTACATGAGAGTTAAGATGCAGCCAAAAACATCTTGAACATGATTGCTCTCCTTAACATAAGTATCAAGTTCTAGGATAAGTATCAAGTTATTGCTTCCTGTTGAAAACTCTTGAGCACTTTCTCGGAATGCTTCTAATGATTTCTTCTCTGTTCTGACTCCTAGGATCCAAATCAAGTGATTGGCTCTGGATTGACTATGGAAGAAATGATTTTTGAAGTTGCTGACACACACTTATTTTTCAATGACTTAGAGGTATGTGTTGTTCTCCAAATTTTGTCTTAAGCAAAAACTAAGTATCATAGCTAAATTTCCACTGAACTAGATGAACAAAGCACATCAGCAAGAACTGAAATAGTACTAGATATAAAAGCAGAATAGAAACCCAGACTTCTAAAATAGTCAGCTTGGACTGCTTATAATCAGGAATCTATATATAGTTCGAATGTCCCTTATCTGAAATGCTTGGGATCAAAAGTATTTTGGAATACCTGTATTTGTATATACAGCCCCCCCCCCTTTCATGGGGATTATGGGTGCCATCCTTTGGTGAAAGTGGGAAAAAGGTGACTATCCCTGGTGAGAGGGGAATGGGGCACCATCTCTATGGCCCCTGGGTAGCCCTACATACCATTTCACTTACCCTGTGAATCCCAGCTTTTTTTCCTCTTCAGATGTTCAACACATATAATATTGATAATCATATTATTATGTAATACAATATAATACTAATAATAATACAGAATAAGAATTATATATTTTATATTACATGTAATATTACTAATAATGTTACAGTATAGTGATATAGTACAATATAGTAGTATATAATACTAGTATTGTGCTGTGCTAATAATGTAATATATTGTATACACATATAATATTATTAATAATATTATAATGTAATACAATATATGGAGCCCCTGGTGGCGCAGTGGGTTAAAGTGCTGAGCTGCTAAACTTGTTGACCGAAAGGTCGCAGGTTTGGTTCCAGGGAGCAGCGTGAGCTTCCGCTGTCAGCCCCAGCTTCTGCCAACCTAGCAGTTCGAAAACATGCAAATGTGAGTAGATCAATAGATACCGCTCTGGCGGGAAGGTAACGGCGCTCCATGCAGTCATGCCAGTCACATGACCTTGGAGGTGTCTATGGACAACACCAGCTCTTCGGCTTATAAATGGAGTTGAGCACCACACCCGAGTCAGACATGACTGGACTTCATGTCAGGGGACAACCTTTACCTTTACCTTAATACAATATATACTAATAATAATACAATGTAAGAATTATATATTTTATATTACATGTAATATTACTAATAATGTTACAGTATAGTGGTATAGTACAATATAGTAGTATATAATACTAGTATTGTGCTGTGCTAATAATATAATTTATTGTATACACATATAATATTGATAATAATATTATAATGTAATACTATATATACTAATAATAATACAATATAAGAATTATATCATAGAATCATAGAATCAAAGAGTTGGAAGAGACCTCATGGGCCATCCAGTCCAACCCCCTGCCAAGAAGCAGGAACATTGCATTCAAATCACCCCTGACAAATGGCCATCCAGCCTCTGCTTAAAAGCTTCCAAAGAAGGAGCCTCCACACACTCCGGGGCAGAGAGTTCCACTGCTGAACGGCTCTCACAGTCAGGAAGTTCTTCCTAATGTTCAGATGGAATCTCCTCTCTTGTAGTTTGAAGCCATTGTTCCGCGTCCTAGTCTCCAAGGAAGCAGAAAACAAGATTGCTCCCTCCTCCCTGTGGCTTCCTCTCACATATTTATACATGGCTATCATATCTCCTCTCAGCCTTCTCTTCTTCAGGCTAAACATGCCCAGCTCCTTAAGCCGCTCCTCATAGGGCTTGTTCTCCAGACCTTTGATCATTTTAGTCGCCATCCTCTGGACACATTCCAGCTTGTCAATATCTCTCTTGAATTGTGGTGCCCAGAATTGGACACAGTATTCCAGGTGTGGTCTAACCAAGGCAGAATAGAGGGGTAGCATTACTTCCTAGATCTAGACACTATGCTCCTATTGATGCAGGCCAAAATCCCATTGGCTTTTTTTGCCGCCACATCACATTGTTGGCTCATGTTTAACTTGTTGTCCACGAGGACTCCAAGATCTTTTTCAAACGTACTGCTCTCGAGCCAGGCGTCACCCATTCTGTATCTTTGCATTTCATTTTTTCTGCCAAAGTGGAGTATCTTGCATTTTGTATTACATGTAATATTACTAATAATGTTGCAGTATAGTGGTATAGTACAATATAGTAGTATATAATACTAGTATTGTGCTGTGCTAATAATATAATATATTGTATTGTATGCACATGTAATACAACATAACAATACAATATAATAATTCTATATTTCATATTAAATGTAATATTACTAATAATATTCCAATATAGTGGTATAGTACAATATAGGAATATATAATACTAATATTGTGCTATGCTAATAATATAATATATTGTGTTTACACATAACTTGTAAGCCGCTCTAAGTCCCCTTCAGGGTGAGAAGGGTGGCATATAAATGTAAATAAATAAATAAACAAGTGTTTGTTTTGCCTGGGCAACGGAATAGAGATACTGAGAAAAATAAAACTACATGAGGAACAAGAGGAGGAGGAGGAATCAACCCCACACAAGCAACATCACTTACCCTGTGGAGTGGGATCATCCTTTTCCTGTGTGACTCATGTTCCTGGTACCTCTCTTTTTTCTTTCCAGCAAAGGAAGAGAGCTACTGGGCAGAACAGAGCAAAAAGCAGGGAGAATTGGCCTCACTTGCACCCAAGGCATTATTACTCTGAATCCGCCCTCCTCTTCCTATGAGTCCTGAATGCCTGTTACCTCTGGTACTTCTCTCCTTTTGCCCTGATGAATCAGACATTCTTAGAACACAGGACGAGGAAGATGAGATGGATCCGCAGGGGAAGGATGGATCCAGCTCCTCTTCTTGCATGCTGCGAGTGTGTGTTTCACCTGGGCAAAAGAAGGGAAGTACAGTCACATATAAATATGTGAGGGGAAGTCATGGAGAGGAGGGAGCAGGCTTGTTTTCTGCCGCCCTGGAGACTAGGACTTGGAGCAATGGCTTCAAACTACAGGAAAGGAAATTCCATAAGAACATTAGAATTTCCTAACTGTGAGAGCTGTTCAGCAGTGGAACTCTCTGCCCCGTGGTGTGGTGGAGGCTCCTTCTGTGGAGGCTTTTAAATAGAGGCTGGATGGCCATCTGTTCGGGGTGCTTTGAATACGATTATCCTGCTTCTTGGCAGGGGGTTGGGATGAATGGCCCATGAGATCTCTTCCAACTCTATGATTCTATGGAAACAGCCCTCTCGCTAAAAGAATCACATAGTAGTTAGTGTGAAAAAACTTTGGCTTCTCCAAAGCTTGGAAATGCTTTTTTATTGCCTGGGGTTGGGTAGGTCATTTGGAGTTGTGATTCAAAAACTAACTTTTCGAAGTGCTGTCTTTTCTTGGCTCCTTGGAGACCATTTCTGCTGGTAGGAATAGACAGGACTGGGCTTTAGTGGAAAAATAGTCTGACTTGGTTTAAGGCAGCTTCCTGTGTTGCTGCTTTTTCTCTTTTTTGTCATTGCAGGAGTGTGACCAGGTTCATGTGGAAGATGTTGCATCAGATGACAATGGGCAAGATTTAAGGTGATATATTCTTCTGTTATTTGTTACTCCCAAGGGCTAAACTGAATAAATAACATTTTTTAAAGCCAACAAGGTTCTCATTTTTGAGGCCTCCCAAACAAAACCTAAACATAGACTGTGTTATGCAATTGCTAAATGACATCTCACAGTCTTATTGTTCAGAAAGGCATGAATAGCTGGCAACTTATGGGCCAAGGGAAGTAAATGAATGGAAGCTATCAGTCCACCAGTGTCCTGAGTCAAGGATGAGTTCTGTGTTTGGGAACTGAATCTCTCATCAGAGATGTCCCCTGTGTGTTCCTCATACAGGACAGTCTGCTTTGCTGTGTCCGAGAAAACCTCATGTTCCTTAGTTTGTCGAAGTGTAAATACACCGGTCTCAAGTTACTGGACCTTCTCTTCTAAGAGAGCCACCAACTTGCATTTGCTGCAGGTATAGCTACATCTTCCACAAGAACACAAGCATACTGTGGCTGCTGGCATCCATGTTCAGTAGTCTTAAATAGGCTCTGAAACAGAACTCTGAGTCCCCTACTAAACACAAAACACTACCATTGGCTTTGCCTGTTAGTTGAGCTTCTGTCTACAGTGGTGGTTCCCAACCTGTGGGCCACGAGACCTAAAATGAAGTCCACGGCTGGGGTGCATGCCACCGTTGAAGGAGAGGGAGGAAGGCAGCGCCATACCCTCACCCTCTTGTGACTTCCCCAGCACCATTGGAGGAGAGCGAGAGAGAGAGTCCTCCAAAGTAGTAGTAGTAGTAGTTATTATTATTATTATTTGAAACACAACAAGATGAGTCCATAGCAGACAAGATCACTTTGCCGGCTGTTGTATTGGATCACACGTCGGACACTTCCCAAGTGTCTAGGACTGTGTGAATAATGCGTGCAGATCCCAGTAAGGTGGCCTTTTGCAGCTGGCAGATGATAATATTGTCAGCGCCGATTGTGTTTGAGTCCAGGCCAAGATCTTTAGGCACTGCACCCAGTGTGCCGATCACCACTGGGACCAACTTTCCTGGCTTGTGCCAGATTATTATTATTATTATTATTATTATTATTATTATTATTATTATTAGAAACACAACAAGATGAGTCCACAGCAGACACTCTGCTGGCTGTTGAATTGGATCACACGTCAGACACTTCCCAAGTGTCTAGTACTGTGTGATGTATCAGCGAATAATGCTTTCAGATTCCAGTAAGGTGGCCTTCTGCAGCTGGCAGATGGTAATTTTGTCAGCGCCGATTGTGTTTAAGTGCAGGCCAAGGTCTTTAGGCACTGCACCCAGTGTGCTGTTCACCACTGGGACCACCTTGACTGGCTTGTGCCAGAGTCTTTGCAGTTCGATCTTTAAATCCTCATATCGTGTCAACTTTTCCAGTTGTTTCTCTGCAATCCTGCTGTCACCTGGGATTGCGACATCAATGATCCATACTTTGTTTTTTATCATCATCATCATCATCATCATTAGCTCCCATTGCCAAACACAAGTGTTGTAATGGGAAAGCAGCCCTTTGTAAGACCCTGTTTAGTCCCCCAAAAGTTGCTGTTGTTGTTGTTATTATTATTATTACAAAAGCCATTAGGGACAGTTTCTTGGGTCTTGCACTCCGCTTTTTGTATTTTTTTCAACCTGTGCCTCCTCCCCTTCTTCTTTTTCTTAACATGAGCTTTAACAAAATCCACGGATAATAACACAGCCCAACCAAGAAAAAAATATTTCTTCTTATCTTTGTTTTTAGGCCTATTATTGGGGTTTTTTGAGGTGCTGATTCAGAAAATTGCATTAGATAGACCACATCAGCCCTAGGTTACTAAATATGATTTTTCTGTGGGCAAGCAGATGGCAACTACTGGATGGCTTATGTTCTGTATCAGAAACTAGAGCTGATGTGGTCTAGTCAATGAAATTTTCTGAATCAGCACCCCAAATAACCAAATCAGATCTAAAGGTGACCAAAACTGATTCATACCCTTTTGGTACTAATGTTGGAGAGTGGTCCCTGGTCAAAGTGGTCTCTGGTCAAAACAAGGTTGGGAACCACTGGTCTATAGAACTCCAGCTGCTGGGGCTTCAGCTTCATAGAGAGCTAGTGGCTGCTATCTCCCCCCGCAACCAGTCTCACATACTCTTGCCTTGAGACCATGGGCTCAGACAGTGGACCTGTGGTTACTGAACAGAATATTGGAACCCTCACAAGTCCTGCAGCAAGCCTCCATTCATTTCACACAAACATTCGGCCTTAACCCAACAAACACAAGCTCACCAGAACACAATAGAACCCTAACAAGTTCTCAAGCAAGCAAGCCTCAACTCACACAAACAATCAGCCTTGCATCAACAGTCACAACAGCCTTGACCCAGCAAACTTTCTCTAGGGCTGGGGAGGTGTAACCCAACAGACATAAGCTCACCTTGTGTTGTCTCTTCCACCACACTCACTCAAAATGCTTCTTTCGGCCTTGCCTGTTAGGTCAACTCCTGTAGTTTGAGCTCCAGGGAGTGGGGCTGTAGCTATGTAGTGAGGAAGTGAGTGCTCGCTCCGCTGCCAAGTCTCTGACTCCTTGCCCTATAGTTGTTAGAACTGAGGCAGACGTTACCAGTATAACTAATCCAACCCTGACCATTTTGATCCCAGCAATTACAATTTTTCCACGGATGGCTTCAGTGGCGCAGGAAACAATGCCGGTCATAGTTCAACAGGTGTCCAGGGTGGAGTGGATTGGATGAGGAAGTTGGCTTTCCGCTACCGGAAGGTGCGTGAGGTATATGACAAATACAGAAGCAACGTATCAGGTGAGTATGAGCAGGACCCACACACACTTGCCACAGGCCAAGGCTATGAGCAGTAGACTACAAGTAGGGATTCCACTGTAGTTTATTGTTATACTTTTTTCATGCAAGAAGCAACTAGACCAACCTGGATGAAGAGGGGCTGGAATGTTTGACTACAACTCCCAGAACCTCCCTGGCAGCATATGCCAGTCGATAGCAGAATTCTGGTAATTCTGGTCAAAATATATGCAATAATGTTTGCATTTCTTCCATTTTTTGGTAACTGCTGAAATTCCACACCTGTTTTCTGTAATTCAGAACACTTTATGCAATGTATTATATGTAAACATTTATATTTATCTGTAAACACCAAGTGCTTGGTGCAGAAGAGCAATCTAGAGATTTTATCACAGGTAAGAAGAAAGAAAAATGTTCTGGTGGGAATTCGGAGACTGAGTAACTGCCGGTCAGTTTCACCAAGTCATTTTGAAGTTTGAATGCTTCCCTGTTAAATGAATCTGAAGTATGTATCTTTCTGTAGCCCTCCTGAGCCCAGAGAAGAAGGAAACTTTTCAGAGATTGAGAGATGACATAGAGATGTTAACAGATTCCTGGTTGGGATCAGCATTAAAATCCCTACTGCTCATTCAATCCAGGTATGAACATGGTAATCTACTGTTATCAGACACTATATTGAGAATGGTACTCTTACCCATTTGTCTGGTTTCCACATAATGCATTGAGGAAGGGTTGCTATTATGTAGCTAATCTACATGACTGGGTAGAAAAGCCTTGTCTGAACTGTGATACATTGCCACATCTCAGTGGAAAACTTTGTGACTAGATACCCAAAGACATTATTTATTTATTATTATACTTAATATTTATATTCCACCCTTCTCACCCCGCAGGGGACTCAGGGTGGATTACAATGCACATATACATGGCAAACATTCAATGCCATTAGACATATAACATATATAGGCAGGCATAGAGGCAATTTAACATTCCAGGTTTCCGGCTTCATGAGGGTATGCTCGACTCTGGCCACAGGGGGAGCTGTCGCTTCACCGTCCACTTGTGACACCGAGTCCTTGATGGAGTACTTCCTCATTTTTACGCACACCGCTGGAAGGTTTTATGATGTTGTAAATTAGTTAAATTAGCCTCCCTGCATAAAGCAGTACCTACATTTCCTACTTAAAAGATGCAACTGTCTTTCGGGCTGCATAGGTCAACAGCAATCTAGACTATTAATGGTCAGGAGCTCACTCCGACATGGAGCAGTGGATTCAAATGGCAGGAAAAAATATTCCACGTAAGAATGTATTGTCGAAGGCTTTCATGGCTGTCCTCCCATTGTTCTTTGGAGGACAGTGGGAAGTCGCATTTTTATTTTTTTTTWAAAAAAAATTAAAATTTAATGTTTAATTTTTTTCTCTTTTTTTCTTTCCTCCCCTCTTTTTTTCACTCTTTCTCTCTCTATACCACTGCAATGTGTTCCTTCACTTTCTCTMTAAACTTCACTTATAACACAACACAAATTTAACATGGAAAAAAAAGAAGGCTTTCATGGCTGGAATCACTGGATTGTTGTAGGTTTTTCGGGCTATACGGCCATGTTCTGGAAGCATTCTCTCCTGACGTTTCACCTGTATCTATGGCAAGCATCCTCACAACCTCTGAGGATGCTTGCCATAGATACAGGTGAAACGTCATGAGAGAATGCTTCTAGAACATGGCCATATAGCCCGTAAAACCTACAACAACCCAATTCCACATAAGCATTATAAAGAACTTCCTGACCATTGGAGATACCTGACAGTGGAATATGCTGCCTTGGTGTGTGATGGAGTCTCCTTCTCTTGAGTTTTTAAAGCAGAGTCTAAATGGCTATCGGTTGGGAGTGCTTTAATTGTGCTTTTCCCTGAATGGCAGGGGTTGGACTGGATGGCCCTTGTGGTCTCTTCCAACTCGCACATTCTGTAATACTAAGATACAGTTTCCGTGATGTGCTCTGCTTGTGAGCTCCATTGCTATCTATGGAAGCTCAGTGTCCTCTTTACCATTATGTGCCAGATGATTTTGCTGTTAATTCATGGTTTTCAATATGTGGGTTGATTTAAACCTTGTCTATCTTGTAGAAAGAATTGTGTGAATGTTCTCATAACAACCACTCAGCTGGTGCCAGCTCTGGCCAAAGTCCTGCTGTATGGACTAGGTGAAGTGTTCCCCATTGAAAATATTTATAGTGCAACAAAAATAGGTAAGTCATGACACTGAATGCCTTCTTTTTGAGGCCGTTAAGCTTGATGATATTGTGAGCTGGGAAAAGAGTGTACAATAGGATTATTCCTGGTGTTGAAGAGTACATATTTTCAATTGTTCTACATTAATTGTTTTATTTAAAACACTAGCCGTGGCCCAGTCTGGTGATTTGGAATATAAAGTAATGAGAAAGTGTTGGTTTCTAATATATGTAATTTCTTCATGCTTGTGGGTAAACAGTATTTCTTGCTGTTTCTTTTTCAGTGTTGATGTGGAGATTGTCTGGTTTGCCTACTCTGGAACATGCAATATATAATTGTGCTTCTTTAGGGGTCCCTCTCAAATCTATCATACTGTATCTGTGTGTGCGATAATATATATCTATCTATATCTATGGCTGGATGGATCTTTGTCAGGAGGGTTTTGATTACGTTTTCTTGCCCTGCCCTGGTGAAGGGAGTTGGACTGAATGGCTTTAAGTATTTTCTGTTGGTCATGGGGGTTCTGTGTGGGAAGTTTGACCCAATTTTGTCATTGGCGGGGTTCAGAATGCTCTATGTGTTGCAACTCAGGGTAGGTTCACCTTGCTCCCAAACACCACCACACCAGAGCTGTAGATTTTGTAGTTTATTGAGAAAAAAGCAAAGTCAAAACATAGAATAAGAAATGCAAAAGTTCCACAAGCAGGACAGAGGCTTAAATGCAAAAACACAATTCCCAAGATCCAAAGGCAAAAACATGAAGCATAATCCTTTAGGCAATGGTCAAACAAGAGTCCATGGTAAAACAGTGAAACATAAGACCCAAAATCCCAGATTCAGGAAGCCAAAAGCGTGCTGCTTAAAGCCAAGGTTAATCCATAGAACTTTGCATGGAAAGAGCCACGTTGAACTGACAACTCCCATTTGTCAGGCAGAAGGCTAAATACCCTTTGCAATCATGAACGCATTGCGATGACCCTTGGCCGACTTGGCTTCTTGCTTACCAGCTAAGTGAGAGCTCCTTCAGCTCCACTGGCTCCTAGCTTGCTACCAAGCACAATTCAAAATGCTGGCTTTGGCCTATAAAGCCCTAAACAGCCCAAGCCCAATCTACCTGTCAGAACGCATCTTCCTCTATGAACCATGGCAGAGATTAAGAGTTATGTTACCTTGGCAGGCAAAGAGAGCTGTTTTGAAAGGATTGTTTCTCGATTTGGGAAGAAAGTCACATATGTGGTGATTGGTGACGGACGCGATGAAGAGATGGCAGCCAAGCAGGTAACTGTTGCACTTCTTTTCCTGAGAAGTAGTGTGTTATATTTCCATTTCCATGTGTAATCTATTGTTTTCCCTTTATGAAACTTTGTCTTGTTTCACACAGCCAGTGTTTTGAGGTGCACAATGAGGTTTTGTTTTGCTAATGTATTTCGTTTCTCAGTGTGTCTGGGCAAACTGGGATGTCACTTAAAAGGTAAAGGTAAAGGTTTCCTCTGACATTAAGTCTACTCGTATCCAACTCTGAGAGGTGGTGCTTATCTCCATCTCTAAGCTGAAGAGCTGGCGTTGTCCGTAGACACCTCCAAGGTCATGTGGCCTTAGAGGTGTCTGTGGATGAGTGGATGACTTGTCATATTTGTTTAGTTTAACCCAGCATTTCTCAACCTGGGGGTCGGGACGCCACGGGGGGTTTCAAGGAGGTTCAGAGGGGTCACCAAAGACCATCAGAAAACATGTATTTCTAATGGTCTTAGGAACTCCTTTGGCAGAGAAGGCTGACGATCTCTCCACCTGTCCTTCTCTTCCTTTTTGGAAACAGACAGCGAATCCTCCCACCAAAAGCCCTCCTCATTGTGATTGGCTGGTCTCTCAGCTAACCTCTCAGCCAAGGGGAGGACTGTTTCTGAAACTCCAAGCGGGGAGGTGAGAGCAGGCATGTTTGACGCATGGCAGAATGGTGCACATGTGCAGGCAAGGGAGAGCAGGAAAGGCTGGAGGGAGGCTCACACCAGCGAGTCCCTTCAAGGTATTGGGCTTCTGTGTGGGAAGTTTGGCCCAATTCTATCATTGGTGGGGTTCAGAATACTCTTTGATTGTAGGTGAACTATAAATCCCAGCAACTAAAACTCCCAAATGTTAAGGTATATTTTCCCCAAACTCCACCAGTGTTCACATATGGGCATACTGAGTATCCATGCCAAGTTTGGTCCAGATCCCTCATAGTTTGTGTCCACAGTACTCTCTGGATGTAGGTGAACTACAACTCCCAAACTCAAGGTACTTCTGTTGGCCGTGGGAGTTCTGTGTGCCAAGTTTGGTTCAATTCCAAGGTTGGTGGAGTTCAGAATGCTCTTTGATTGTAAGTGAACCATAAATCCCAGCAACTACAACTCCCAAATGACAAAATCAATCACACTAGCGACTCCCTTCAAGGCATGGGGCTTCTGTGTGGGAAGTTTGGCCCAATTCTATCATTGGTGGGGTTCAGAATGCTATTTGATTGCAGATGAACTAGAAATCCCAGTAACTACAACTCCCAAATGACAAAAACAGTTTGTGCCAAATTTGGTCCTGAAAATACATCCTGCATATCAGATATTTACATTACGAATCATAACAGTAGCAAAATTACAGTTATGAAGTAGCAATGAAAATAATTTTATGGTTGGGGGTCACCATAACTGTATTAAGGGGTCACAACATTGGGAAGGTTGAGAAACACTGGTTTAACCTAATCACAAAATTTCTGCTGGGAAAAAAGGAAACCTTGTATGCATGTATGCTGTCTCAAAGTGTATCAAAGAAGAGGAAGGAAATAACATAAATAATGTGGTTTCTCTGGCTTGCAGCACAACATGCCATTTTGGAGAATTGCGGAACATGCTGATCTGGTGTCCCTCCACCAGGCCCTCGAACTGGACTTTCTGTGAAGAGCTGAGGGAAAGGCAGATTATCACAGCTCCCCAATGACCCACTTGATCCTTTTTGTGGGACTTCCTTTTTTGTCCAGACACGAGAATTGTACTGACAGAAGTATATAGCAGAAGGCACTACATCGCACTTCCAGGAGAACTGCCGAAGAGCCTTGATAAGTCATTCAGGTGCTCCAGTTATGTCCTCTGGGCTTTGGAGAAGGTGATTTTTTTTGAGATTCAACATAGCATCACAGGTAGAATAATCTCCAGCAAGAAAGACCTCTCTCACTGTGCAGCCATTTATGGAATTATTGTCAAAGTGGGGGAGAGCAGTACATTTTTGTAGCGTAATGTCACCTTTACATCTCTCTCGAGCTTTCAAATATAGAAGGAAATAAATTAGTGGGTTGTTGTTGTTTTTTCCCAGAGCAGGATCCAGGGAGACCTTGCTTATTTTTGCAAAGCCATAAAAAAAAATTCCGATTTTTAGGAAAACGTGGCAAAATCTGTCAGTCTGTGGGACGCTGAATATACCCAGTTTTTGATCTTTGACAACAAGGGGGGGGGGGGTGGCTGTTTTGTGTGCCTTGTAAGACTTTCTCTCAAGCTTCTCATTTCACCAACTCCTTCAGGAGGTTGCAGAAGAGCATTTCAATACCAAATGACTTGAAAAGGAAAAAGAGTGTGTTGCCTAATGGCATCCTGATTTCATCCTCCTTTTCACTAGCATGCTTGCATAAGTCAAGGAGAAATAAAAGCCCCTCTCTTAAGACACAACATAACATTTTGGCATTTTTATTTTTATTTTTTTCGTGTCAGGAGCGACTTGAGAAACTGCAAGTCGCTTCTGATGTGAGAGAATTGGCCATCTGCAAGGACATTGCCCAGGGGATGCCTGGATGTTTTGATGTTTTACCATCCTTGTGGGAGGCTTCTCTCATGTCCCCGCATGGGGAGCTGGAGCTGACAGAGGGAGCTCATCTGCGCTCTCCCCAGATTCAAACCTGCGACCTGTCGGTCTTCAGTCCTGCTGGCACAAGGGTTTAACCCACTGCACCACTGGAGGCATTTCAGCATGGAATGGTTAGCAAACCCTGCCATGGTATGCTGACTTCCCAAGCAATGTCTTAGTTTGTTGTTGAAGGCTTTCATGGCCAGAATCACTGGGTTGCTGTGAGTTTTCTGGGCTGTATGTGGGCCAGGGTTCAGGAGAGAATGCTTCTGGAATATGGCCATACAGGCTGGAAAACTCACAGCAACCCATTGTCTTGGTTGATACATCCCATATTTCTGCTGAAATTCTATATTTTGAAGTAGGGTTTCAGACCTGTATAATGGACCCAGAATATGATTCTACTGTTCAGCAAGCGAAAAGAGGCAGTTCAAATTATACTTTTTGTTAGACTAGTGTTTGGACCTGTCACTGTGGCAGGTTCAACCACTGACCTAGTGGAAAGGGGAAGCAGGCATTACTCTTCTCACTTCCACAAAACAGATAGGTTGTTGTAGGTTTTTCGGTTTGTATGGCCATGTTCTAGAAGCATTTTCTCCTGACATTTTGTTTGCATCAGTGACAAGCATCCTCAGAGGTTCTGAGGATGCTTGTCACAGATGCAGGCGAAGCATCAGGAGAGAATGCTTCTAGGACATGGCCATGCATCCCAAAAAACCTACAACAACCCAGTGATTCCAGCCATGAAAGCCTTCAACAATACACAATACAGATAGCATGCTAAAAAAAGTAGGTAGGTGGTGGGGGTGTCCTAATCTTCAAAGAACACATCTGAAGTTTCGGCTTGCCATAATAATTTACTTTTTGGCTTGGGCACGAAGGAATCTAAGATATCAGTCCCAGCTAATACGTGATAACTCTCAAGAAAGGCTATCATGTCATTTAGATCATACTTTTTGAAGTAACTTTTCTAAGTTCACATATAAACACATGCTGTGATACCCAGCCTCATTTGCTCCTGATTATTTAGTTATTTGCTTCAAACGTTTTGATGGGGTGGCAGTATAGCAATGTATTTTTTTCATGGGGGCATAGCATGTGCTGGAGACCTGGATTCTGGACAGAGATGTGCACCAAAGAGGGGAGAAATTGCCTTTTTCATGTACAGAGAACCACAAAACTGCCTTGTTTCCTGATATTTTCACAGTCACCACCTCTTACAGGTTCACTGAAAGCACTCTGTTGCTCTTTCTCTGGATTCTCCCTCTTTGCGACATGCTGTGCTTCACTTCGGAGTCAACTCTGTGCCTTAACTTCCATCCTAAGTTTCGGCCTGGAAATGTCACAGGCTGTGGAGAGAGCGGTTGTCAATCCCTTTTCAAAGTTAACTTTAATTATGCATTTATTTCTCTAATGTTTTCAGTAAGCATAGCCAGTGGAGGTGGAAGCTGACCAGTGTTGCCCTGAACTTGACTTAAAGAGAAACTGTTTTTGGAAACACCATTGGCCCTATTTGTGAAGAGTAGTTTTTTTTGTTGTCCTCAGATATCAATATTTATATGCTGTCTTTTTTCTGATGTATGTAATTTTTGCCTCAGATCCTCAGGTGATGGTACTTTTGTTCCTGTTGACTTTAATAAAGGATGCCCTGGCTCTTTTATCACTGATTTTATTTTTCTGGCTGCCTCTCTTAGGTTTTCATAAAGAATTTGGAAATTAGTAGAGCTTTTGCCTCCTGCTCTTGGTTGCTGTGTTAATTACCATTCATCAGCTTGATTTATTCGAATGCAGGCATGGGCAAACTTTGGCTCTCCAGGTGTTTTGCACTTCAACTCCCACAATTCCTAACAGCCTACCGGCTGTTTGGAATTGTGGGAGTTGAAGTCCAAAAAACCTGGAGGGCCGAAGTTTGCCCATGCCTGTTCTAATGCATAGTCAGCTCTCTGCATCCCTTAACAAGGTGGGATGAAGGTCTGGACTTTTCAATGATGAATGAGTCTGTGGTTTTCATCATAGCTTTGAATTATTAAAGGTTCCATCGAGCAGCAGAGGCAGAGGCTGCGATATGTTGGCTGATATGGAATATAAATGCTTGTTCTCCATCACGTTCCTGCCAGCATCCAGAATGGGTGTTAGCTGTTTTAGTGGTTTTTATTGGAGGGCATTAATGGCTTTAGATCCCTTGAGCATCATGTTCTGTGTTAATGGAAATTGTCCTGTGAACTGGAAAAAAAATAAAGTCTTTTATTTTCTATTGAAGAAATCAAAACATTGTTCTTTCTTCCTTCCTAAAAAAAATATGTTAACCCAAAATCACTTTTAGTACAAGGAAGTTGGAGAATGGAAGCTCCCAGGATTTGGGCACATATCAATTTTTACACATATTTATAAGTTAGAAAGACCACTAATTATGACCAGTCAGTTCTAGATATCCATTGCATTATTTTCTGCTCTTTTGTTAATTACATATTCATCATGTCTCCATGACTAAAATGATCAAGGGTCTGAAGAACAAGCCCTATGAGGAGCGGCTCAAAGAGCTGGGCATGTTTAGTCTTCAGAAGAAATGGCAGAGGGGAGACATGATGTATAAATATGTGAGTAGAAGTTATAGGGAGGAAAGAGCAAGCTTGTTTTCTGCTGTCCTGGAGACTAGCACGCAGAACAATGTCTTCAAATTACTTGGAGATTCTACCTGAACATGAGGAAGAACTTCCTAGCCATCTGTGGGGGGGGGGGGGGGGGGGGGGGGTTGTGTGTGCTTTGAATGCAATATTCCTGCTTCTTGGCAGGGGTTGGACTGGATGGCCCACAAGGTCTCAACTCTATGATTCTATGATCAAGTTGCTCATAGCATGCCTATTGCCCTGAGAACAACCCTACGGGGTAGGATAGCCTGAGAGATGAAGACTGGGCCAAGGAGAACTTTGTGGCTGACCAGGGAACTGAACCTGGATCCCTTCTGTTGAACATCCTCCATTCCACCATAAATGCTTTAAATAGGTTGGGATCAGCTCTTGTTGCCACCTCCCTCTTGCAACAACTCCATTGGCTGCTGATCAGTTTCCAGGCACAGCTCTACGTGCTAGTTATGACCTATAAAACTCTATATGTCTTAAATCCAAGTTGTCAGATTGTATATCTGCCCCGTCAGCCTTATCTGGTGGGAACACAGTAGAGGGACTTCTCAGTGGCTGCTCCATCTCTGCAACTTGCTTCCAATAGATGCCAGACTGGGCCCTTCCTTATCTTTTCATAGGCAAGTGAAGATACTTTTGTTCTGGCCGGCCTTGGAGAACTGACTACTCAATGATGGGCTGTATAGTCCATATTTCTTATTTTTCATGGATATTTATTTATTTTAATGCTACTAATAGCTTAATTCTATTTTAACTTTTGTAAGATTTGCAGTTTTAGCTGCATCTATTTTAGGTTTTCTAAGCCTTTAAACATTGTCATAAGATGGTGAGGATGCTGGAAATACACACACACATACATATACTTGGCCACGACTATGGAGACAGATATACACTTCCTGATAAAATAATACACTATGGAGACAGATGTACACCTCCTGATGAAATAATACACGTAAACAGATTTGAAATCTTTATTCTGCATAACTGGCAATAACTTAACATTCAAAGTTAAGACTGAACCAATGACCAAAGTCAACGTTATAGGGCAAATTTCAATTCTGTTTAAATCAAAAGTAACTGTAGGAGGCTGTGATTTAAATTAAGGAACTAGGACAACAGTGTTCATTTTAGAGGGAAAGGCCCTGTGAAAATGGACCTTGCCATGGTTTTGAGAGGAGCAAAAAAGGGGAAAGGGTTTAAATGGGGTTGGGATGACTCAAGAAATTCAGCATTCTTCAGCCATTGCTTTCAAGTCCACTCTTTTTCGACAGTTTCTGACTGAAATGTCAGAGGGGCATCTCATTCTAACTTCATGATGACACCAGACTTAAGGATAACTACTTGGAAGGAACCTGCTTTCTCACGGTTTGGTCTCTTCCCACATCACTGTCACTCCACTCTGGTTATTTGCTGTTCCTCTAAAGAAACTAGCAGCTTCCCCCAGTTCCCTTTCATTTAGAAAGTAAAAATAAGGAGACTGTTAATTCTGCCCTCTAATACTCTATTTGCTTTGAACCCAACATTTGCCTAACAGTGTGAACAACTAAAAAATACTCGTTATCGTAACACTGACAACATAATTTAAATTAGGCTACATGACCTAACAAAAATCCAACACCCCAATTCTAAATAGGATTGGGTTGTAAGTTTTTCGGGCTGTATAACCATGTTCCAGAAGCATTCTCTCCTGACGTTTTGCCTGCATCTATGGCAGGCATCCTCAGAGGTTGTGAGACCGCACAAACTGAAGATGCCTGCCATAGATGCAGGCAAAATGTCAGGAGAGAATGCTTCTGGAACATGGCTATACAGCCCGAAAAACTTACAACAACCCAGTGATTCTGGCCATGAAAGCCTTTGACAATACACTAAATAGGATTGCTGAGCAGCAGAACCCTGGATTGGTGAGACAAGGAGATTAACTACAAAACTGTTCACAGAAATGCCCTTGGTGCTCTTCTAGATTTCAACTCCCAGGATCGAAGTATGATGGAAATTGCATCCCTTCAACATCTGGAGGGATGCACATTGTCCAGTCCAGATTTTGAGTCATTTGGTCACACCAGACTAGACGTAAGTCAATAACAAAGGACTATAGAAACTCAGTGAACCTATTTCAGGCATCATACCAAACAACAGGATTTCCACACTCCCTAGTCATCTGGAGCTTACTGGAGATGTAGTTCAAGACAACTGGTGCATATCAGTTTAAGAAAAAGCTTCAGCGTGGATCTTTATGCTCAAGAATCTAGAGATCCTTATTATCTTGCACAACCTTACATTATTTAGCTCAGAAGCAGCTTTAGCATAAAGCCTAGTTCTGGAGCAGCGATATGAACCTGGAAGAGCCTTGTCTAAAACATTCTGCCTTTATTGGGCTCTTGATATGTAAAGATCACAAATACACATCCCCAAGAGTCCCATTTTGGGGTGGGCGCTTGCCCTGTAAAGTGTCAACAAAGAAGTTTTGGGAGAGCTTGTACGTTCGATGATTCACATGTCTCATGACACTGGAGGATATCCAATGGTCCACCACAATCTGCAAATCAATGGTTCTGTCACTCACAGTCCCTTGGGTATCCACTTCATCGTAAATGTTTGGGGATACATTCTGTACTGTTGGGTGGAAAAATTTGTAGTAGATGACTCTTAGAAGGATGCCAAGCAAGTAGCAGGGCAAGGCAGCAATGAGAGCATGTATCATGTACGAGTCTCTGCTCAAGGGAGTATTGTGCCAAAGCCATGAGACAGAGAGGATAATGCTGTCCAGCAAAATAAATGTGTGATAAATGCATGAACGGTGGCACGTCTTCCCTGCGGCCACATTGAACCAGCAGAAATAGAGGATGACCGCTACAACTGCCCGATAAGCCCATTCACAGGTATTCTCCATGAAGTCCGTGCCTTGCAATGAGACCCAGAGAAACATGACTGACCAAACGCCCAGGAAGTGAAGGAAAATGTAGCTTGGGAAGAGCACAGCGAAGACAGCAAGAGACAGGATGCGGGGACACACCAACAGGAAGTTCCACAGGAAGTAGAGGACTGAAGACAGAAAATCCAGCTTGTCTTTTTCCTGTAGAAAGCTGCGCAAAGTTTGGTGATAGTCCAAGAGCGTCCAGGCAATACAGAAGAAAGATGTGCAAATGCCAAGTACTGCAATGAAAGCAGGGATGAGGGGGCACAAAGAAAGAAAGGAGCCAGTAAACCTCATATTTCTGAAATAGAAACGTTCAAAATTCAACATCTTTCCAGTACATATTTCCAGTGTGAATAAAACATAAGATGTAAGATTCTAGTCCCAAAGGCTGAAAAGATACACGGAAATGACTCAGGAAATGTCTTAGTACCCTTGAGAATTGGTGGGTGGTGATGCATTATTTTTTTCTCTCCAGTAGTCTGGGGATAGGCCTTTAGTATCCCTTTTCTTACCTGGGAGAAAATTCCAATGATGTCAATGTGATTGACTTGAAAACACATAACACAGTAAGTACACTGCTACAGCAGAGGTGGGAATCATGTGGAACTTCCTATAAAGCCCTAAATGGTTCTGGCCCAGGTATCTGTCCAAATGTATCTCCCTCTAGGAACCACCGTGGATAATCTGGGGAGGCCCTGCTCTCAGTCCCACCTCCCTTGTGGGAGTGATTGGCAGATGGGAGAGAAGGCCTTTTCAGTGGTGGCTCCTCGACTATGGAACTCCCCCCCCCCCCAGGGATATTAGATCAACCTCCTTCCTTCTGACCTCCTGCAAGAGAGTGAAAACATGGCTTTGTGACCAAGCCTTTAGAGAACATATGCAATAGATAGACTTGGAACAATGTGCAGTGACCACTGGAACGGCCAGGATTACACTCGTGGATTACGTGTTTATTTATTTATTTAGTTACTACATTTGTATACCGCCCTTCTCAGCCCGCAGGTGATTCAAGGCGGTTTACAGAGGCAACAATTCAATGCCCAACAACACCATAAAAACATTTTAAAACATTAACATATAATATAAAACTATAACTATATCAATAAGACATAAATCATTTGCGTCTCCTGGTTAAAATGTCCAACTCTGAATTATTGTTTTTAAGTGTTTTAATTATTTTGAAGTACTTTTTAATTCTATTTTAATATTTTTTTAAAGTGTACATTGTGTTTTAAGGCATCTAATCGTTGCCTGTATGTAAAGCCGCCTTGAGTCCTCTCCAAGGTGAGGAAGGTGGGATAGAAATGTCACAAATAAGTAAATAAATAAATAAACTCCACATATCATCGTACTGCAACTCCCCAGTAGTCCTAGACAGCATAGCCAATGGTGAGGAATGGTGGGAAATTCAGTCCAATTATTATGACCATTCCTGACTTGTAGTAATATAGTGCTTACTTCATCACTTAAGTCATAAAGCTCATTTGTAGAGTGATCTAGGGCTAGTCTCTAGCTGTCAACTTAATCATGGGGAAGGGGCAGGAGGAATAGATAGGGAAAAAAGCAGGAGAAATAAAAAAGAAATAAGAAAAAAACAAAGGTCACAGCAATAGATAAGATTTTTTCAATGTACAGATCATGTCTGTAAGTTTCAAAATTGTTCTGTGTCCTGAAGTTTAAATAATGTTGCTATTCTAGATTTCAGATACTCCAATCTATTCCATTTCACCATCTTTTTCAGTATTTTCTATTGGAAATAGAAAATAGTAGTTATTATTTACTGAGCTGTTGTGGGAGTTGTCCTCACTACCATTACATCCCGCTCCCCAGTAAATATTTTGTACTTCTAAGACCCTTGAGGTTCCTCACCTCTGCTGATATTTCCTCTAATATGTGGGTGGTGCTCTTTTGGCAACAAAATCGATAACACTGGCCAATACACATATTAGACTTGTTTCTGGGTATATTTGACCTGCTGATTCCAAAAGTAGCACCAACCTTCCCCTATCAGCTCTTGTTTTTGATATACAAAAAATGTGACATCTACCAGTTGCCCATAGAAATTCATGATAACAATATCTAAGAAACTAGAGCTAATGTGGTCTATCCAATGCAATTTTCTGAACCAGAGCTCCAAATAACAGGTCAAAACACCAAAATACTGAGATTTTTTTTTTTGTTGGACTGTGTAATAGAGTAGCCTCCAAAGATACGTGGAGAAATGATGAACGATGCAAGCGGTACTTCACATTCACAAAGGAAAATCCTGGAATGAGAAAATGCAATCTCCCTTCCTTTCTGACCAGACACTCACCTTGAAATATCTCCACTTTGTTTGTGTACAGAATAATGTAGAGCATCAGTGTGAGCTGAGGGGCACTTTCCAGGAAGGTCTCAAAAAGACGTAGTAAGCTAATATCATGGGACAGGAAAATGGCATAGGCCCGCTCTGTTTCTGTGGCAACTTTCATCCGGCAGACGTTGAAACCCACCTTCAAGGCATGGAGGCATCTGCCAAAGGTAACATATTTAAAACATGATTTAAAACAATGTTAATAATAATAATAATAATAATAATAATAATAATAATAATAATAATAATAAAAGGCATAACACCGTTGCTCAGATGATTAATTGGAACTTGTGCCACAAATATCTGCCTGTGACAAAGAACTGGTGGGATCACAAGCTGGAAAAGGTTCCAGAGAATGAACACATCAAGCTACTCTGGGACTTCCAAATTCAGACAGAGAGTTTTGGAGCACAAGACTCCTGACCTCACGATCGTGTTAAAAAACAAAGTACGGATTGTCAATGTTGCAATCCCAGGTGACAGCAGGATTTAAGAGAAACTACTGGAAAAGATGACATGATATGAGGATTTAAAGATCAAACTGCAAATACTCTAGCACAAGGCAGTCAAGGTGGTCCCAGTGGTGATCGGCACACTGGGTGCAGTGCCTAAAGACCTTGGCCTGCATTTAAACACAATCGGTGCTGACAAAATTACCATCTGCCAGCTGCAAAAGGCCACCTTACTGGGATCTGCACACATTATTTGCCAATACATCACACAGTACTAGACACTTGGGAAGTGTCCGACGTGTGATCCCATACAATAGCCAGCAGATTGTCTGCTGTGGACTCATCTTGTTGTGTTTCAAATAAAATAATAATAATAATAATAATAATAATAATAATAATAATAATATACTTCTTATTCCACTCTATCTCCCTGAGGGGACTCAGTGTGGATTACAGAACACATATACCGCAAATATTCAATGCCATTATACAATTAACTGGACAGACAATACATAAACAGAGGTAAAGGCTTTCCCCATCTTTTTCCATTTCCGGCATCTGGAGGCTGTGCTCAACTCCAGCTACGGAAGGGTGCTGTAGTTCCATCTTCCATGCCGAGAAGGTTTTGTCATCCGTAAACGTCCCCCCGGTGTCCTTATGGCCGCCTTTATTACCTCCCTGCTTAAAGCAGTACCTATTCATCTACTCACATTTCTGTTTCCCACCTGCTAGGTGGGCAGAAGCTGGGGCCGATGGTCGGGCACTCACCCCAAACCGGGTTTAAACTGCCAACCTTTCGATTGGCAGGATTTTCTGCAGATTAACGGTTTAACCTATTGTGAAAAGCAGTGGGTCAAAGGCAATTCACAAGTGTTCGGATGCTGCAGTGAGCTTGATAATTAGCATGATAATAGTATGGCACAAATATATCACTGGTCCCTGGCACATTTAAAGGAAAAAATGTTGGTTCATAATGAAACTTGTTTGAGAAGCACCAGTTTAAGGGATTTATTATCCCTTAAATTGACAAAAGAGAGCCAGCAGTAGGTAGCAAGACGCAAAGGGAAGCTGCCATTTCGATCTACACTAAGACCCAAAGCTTACTCTGGTTCTCTTTCAGCCTCACCTACTTGACAGGACTGCTTGACAGCCTCACCTACTTGACAGACAAAAATGGGGGAGGGAGCCACCCCAACAGCCTCAGAAAAAACGAGTGAGATTTAAATGTAACAAATACATGTAATACAAACGTCATCTAGCTCTTAGAGGTGTTGTACGAATTTTTATTTGTTAATGTATGGAATCTCCTTCAGGGGCCGCGGTAGCACAGTGGGTTAAACCGCTAGCTGCAGGAAAGCTGCTGACCGGAAGGTTGGCAGTCGAAGCCGCAAGTGAGCCCTCAACTGTCAGCCCCAGCTCCTGCCAACCTAGCAGTTTGAAAGCATGCCATGAAACTAGATCAATAGGTACCGCCTTGGCAGGAAGGTAAAAGGGCGCCCCGTGCAGATATGCAGACATTAGGGCTGGGCGGTTTCGTTCGTTAATTTTGTAATTCGTTAATTATTCGTTATTTTTTTTATTTACAAAATGATTTCAAAACTTATTTTCAAACCTGGAAGTGTTTTTTAATAGCGAAACAGCATCCTCCATCTTTTTTACGAGCTTCCGCCCGTTTCGGAAATGACGTTTAATGATGGAAGGATGCTGGGTGCGCCGGGAGCCAATCCGGCGCTCCCAAGCACCGTGTCTCCTTCTGATTGGGCGGGCTGCCCTTTAAAAGCGGCTCCGCGTGGCCGCATGCTCAGTCTGGGCTGGGAAGGCGAGGAGCCGGGAGGTGTGGGAGGCTTGCTTGCATTCGCGTTGCTGTGTTGGGACTCGGGAGAGCGAGGAGGGTGGACGGAGCTGGGAGCAGCGGGGAGGCATTTCTTGCTGCTCTTGTGTGTGTGTGTTTGTCTTTGTTGTTGTGGCTGTTTTTGCCCCACTACAGGGCAAGCATTTTGTTAATTTTCTATTTTTAAACTTTTTCTGCTAAATATTTCTTTTATTATTTAAAAAAATTAAAAAAATATTTAAAAAAAGAAAAAAAAGCACAGTTCTCTTTGGTGAAACAAAAGGTGTTTCACCCAGTTGTTGTGGCTGTTTTTGCCCCACTACAGGGCAAGCATTTTGTTAATTTTCTATTTTTAAACTTTTTCTGCTAAATATTTCTTTTATTATTTAAAAAAATTAAAAAATATTCAAAAAAAAGAAAAAAAAAGCACATTTCTCTTTGGTGAAACAAAAGCTGTTTCACCCAGTTGTTGTGGCTGTTTTTGCCCCACTACAGGGCAAGCACTTCATTTCTGTAGTTCCAACCAGTGCGGCCCTTTTGCCAACACAAAGTGCTTACAGTGCTCATTTTTAGTGTAGTTCCAAGCAGTGCGGCCCTTTTGCCAACACAAAGTGCTATAATACAGTGCTCGTTATTTGTGTAGTTCCAAGCAGTGCGGCCCTTTTGCCAACACAAAGTGCTATAATACAGTGCTCGTTATTTGTGTGTAGTTCCAACCAGTGCGGCCCTTTTGCCAACACAAAGTGCTTACAGTGCTCATTTTTAGTGTAGTTCCAAGCAGTGCGGCTCTTTTGCCAACACAAAGTGCTATAATACAGTGCTCGTTATTTGTGTAGTTCCAAGCAGTGCGGCCCTTTGGCCACCACAAAGTGCTATAATACAGTGCTCGTTATTTGTGTAGTTCCAAGCAGTGCGGCCCTTTTGCCAACACAAAGTGCTATAATACAGTGCTCGTTTTTATAATAACATTATTTTTATATATTATTAATAATTTATAATTTAATTTTATATATTATTTTTAAATAAATATTAAATAATAATTATTAAATGTTATAATATGATATAATAATTATTTATATTATTATTTATTTCATTTATATAATATATATTATATTATTTTATATTATATAATATATATTATATAATTTTATATTATTTATTATTATTTATTATTATTATTTATAAATTATTATAATTTATTATTATTTATATTTATTTAAATTTTATTATTATATTATTGTTTATTTCATTATATTATTTGACTCAGTTTTGGCTACTTTATCTTATTACTTTTTAATTTAATATCTTATTCTATTTGATTATTTTATTTGATTTATTTTATGAAATGATTTTGTTTGTAGAGCATTCAGCATTGCGCAATCGCGTCCGCCATTTTAACGAATCGATTCGTTATCATTTTAATAACGAATCGATTCATATTTAATAACGAAGTTTCGGAAGTCCGTTTTCGCGCATGCGCAATCGCGTCCGCCATCTTTACGAATCGATTCGTTAATAATAACGAAATTTCGTAAATATCGAACTTTTTAAAAGGAAAATTTCGGAAATCTTTTAAATCTCGAAACGCAAAAAACCACAAAAAACGAATCGATTTTAAAAACAAATTTTTCCGTTGTTACCCAGGCCTAGCAGACATGCCGGCAACCTAATTGGAGATGTCCATTGACAACAGGCTACTCGGCATGGAACAAGAGCACCTCCCCATGGCCAGAGTTGAGCATCACCTCCAGACGGTGGAGGAAAAAGAAGGGAGAGAAGGCCTTTACCTTTGTCTGTGTTGTATGATTTGTTCACTGTGTGTGTAAAAAGGCATTGAATGTTCGCCTCATATGTGTATTGTAATCCACTCTGAGTCCCTCTGGGGATATAAAGCAGAATATAAATAAAGTGTATCATCATCATCAATATAATCTGCTAAAAGGCTTCAAGATGAGGAGTCAAGCTTTGCTTAACTCCACTGCCATCTGGCTGAGGCTGCAGTCTAGATTTATATATCTGTGGAATGTCCAGGGTGGGAGAAAGAACTCTGGTCTGCTTGAGGCAGGTGTGAATGTTGCAACTGGCTTCCTTGATTAACATTTAATGACCTTGCAGCTTCAAACCCTGGCTGGCTGCTGCCTGGGGGAATCTTGCAGGAATTCCAGGCAAGAATAAATCAGGGCCAGCTAACACCTCCCAACAAAGATTACCCCAGGCAGCAATCAGCCAGGCTTTGAACTGCAAGGACATTCAATGCTAATTGAGGTGGCCTATTGCAACATTCATGCCTGCCTCAAGCAGACAAGAGTTCTTAGAATCACAGAGTTGGAAGAGACCTCGTGGGCCATCCAGTCTAACCCCCTGCCAAGAAGCAGGAAAATCGCATTCAAAATACCCCTGACAGATGGCCATCCAGCCTGTGTTTAAAAGCCTCCCAAGAAGGAGCCTCCACCACACAGCAGGGCAAAGAGTTCCACTGCTGAACAGTTCTCACAATTAGAAAGATCTTCCTAATGTTCCAGTGGACTCTTCTTTCCTGTAGTGTTAGTCACTGTTCCGTGTCCTAGTCTCCAAGGCAGCAGAAAACAAGCCTGCTCCCTCCTCCATATGACTTTCCCTCACATTTATACATGACCCTAATCATGTTTCCTCTCAGCCTTCTCTTCTGCAAGCTAAACATGCCCAGCTCTTTAAGCCGCTCCTCATAGGGCTTGTTCTCCAGACCCATGGTCATTTTCGTCACCTTCCTCTGGACACATTCCAGCTTGTCAACATCTCCTTTCAACTGTGGTGCCCAGAATTGGACATAATGTGATGCCAGGTGTGGTCTGACCAAGGGAGAATAGAAGGGTTGAATGACTTCCCTGGATCAAGACACTTTTTCCAACCGTGGACATCATTCCACAGATATATAAACCCCACTTGCCTAGTTTTCAACAGACTCCTCAACCTCTGAGGATGCCTGCCATCGATGTGGATGAAATGTCAGGAAAGAATGCTTCTGGAAAATGGCAATATAGCTTGGAAAACTCATAGCAACCCAGTGATTCCAGCCACGAAAGCCTTCAACAACACAATATATGTATTTTATAGCATGTTCACAGTGATTATGTGTTTTAACTATCTTGTAACCCGCCTCAAACCATGAGGAGAGGAGGGACTGAAATAAAATTATGACTATTATTATGGATTGGATTTGGAAGAGACCACAAAGTCATTTATTGTCCAATTGTCTGCTATGCAGAAGCATACAAAGAAAGCACTCTTCTACGCAGATGGCCATCTGGCCTCTGCTTAAAAACCTCCAAAAAGGGAGCTTCTGCCACACACATGGGCAACATATTCCACTCTCAAGCAGCTCTTATACTGGGTTTCTGTGAGTTTTCCGAGCTGTGTAGCCATGTTCCAGAAGCATTCTCTCCTGACGTTTCGCCCACATCTATGGCAGGCATCCTCAGAGGTTGTGAGATCTGTTGGAAACTTGGCAAGTGAGGTTTATATATTTGTGAAATGTCCAAAGTGGTAGAAAGACTCTTGTCTGCTTGAGGTAAGTGTGTATGTTACAATTGGCTGCCTTGATTAGCATTTAACAACCTGCAGTTTCAAGGCCTGGCTGATTGCTGACTTGGGGGGGGGGGGGGATTCTTTGTTAGGAGGTGATTAGTTGGCCCTGATTGTTTCCTGTCTGGAGTTCCCCTGTTTTCTGAGTGTTGTTTTTTATTTATTGTCCTGATTTTGGAGGGGTTGTTTTGTTGTTGTTGTTGTTGTTGTTTTACTACTGGTAGCCAGGTTTTGTTCATTTTCATGGCTTCTTCCTTTCTGTTGAAATTGTCCACAAGCTTGTCGATATCAATGGCTTCTCTGTGTAGGATGACATGGTGGTGGTTAGAGTGGTCCAGCATTTTTGTGTTCTCAAATCTGGGCACAGTATATTGAGAAGGGCCCAGTTCCCCCTCGTGCTTACCTGTACAGGTAGCCCAGCTGCAGGACGTGCAAGGCCAGCCAGGCCGGGCCTGAGGGCAGCCCTCGCCGCAACTCCGGCGCGTCGCCCCGAGGCCAGGCCCAGCTGAAGGCCTGCACGGTTAGCGAGGAGAGGCCCGCTAGGCCCAGCACCAGCCCGGCCCAGGAAGCGCGGCCCGCCTGCCAAAAGCGGATGGCCACCCAGGCATCCGCGCCCAGGTCCGCCAGGAAGGCCGCGCCGCCCAACAGGGACCAGAGGAGGTCCCAAGAGCGGAACGGGGGAGGCCAGGCCATGGCTCTCGCCGAGGGAAGAAGGGAGGGAAGGAAGGAAGGAAGGGAGGGAGCGAAGGAGGGGCCGAGAAGGGCCGGGGGAGCTTGGCTGGATCTACGCTGCCACATTAAGGAGCAGGCCTGGGCCACCTTAGGCCCTCCAGGCGTTTTGGAGTTCAACTCCCACCATTCCTCACAGCCTCAGGCGCTCTCCTTTTCCCCCTCAGCCACATAACTCAGGCCTGGGCCAACTTGGGCCCTCCAGGTGTTTTAGACTTCAACTCCCCCCATTCCTCACAGCCTCAAGCCCTTTCCTTTTCCTCCTCAGCCGCATAACTCAAGCCTGGACCAGCTTGGGCCCTCCAGATGTTTTGGACATCAACTCCCACTATTCCTCACAGCCTCAGGCCCTTTCCTTTTCCCCCCACAGCCACATAACTGAGGCCTGGGCAAACTTGCACCCTCCAGGTGTTTTGGACTTCGACTCCCATCATTCCTCACAACCTCAGGCCCTTTCCTTTTCCCCCTCAGCCGCATAACTCAGGCCTGGGCCAGCTTGGGCCCTCCAGGTGTTTTGGACTTCAACTCCCACCATTCCTCACAGCATCAGGCCCTTTCCTTTTCCCCCTCAGCCACTTAAGCCTGAGGCTGTGAGGAATGGTGGGAGTTGAAGTCCAAAACACCCAGAGGACCCAAGTTGGCCCAGGCTTATCATAGAATCATAAGAGTTGGAAGAGACCACAAGGGCAAACTAGTCTAACCCTTTGCCATGCAGGAAAAGCACAATCAAAGCACTCCCGGCAGATGGCCATCCAACCTCTTTAAAAGTTTCCAAGGAAGGACCTTCCACCAGACACCGGGACAGAGAGTTCCACTGTTGAACAACTGGTACGGTCATGTTCAATTGAATCTCCTTTCCTGTCCTTTGAACCCATTGCTCTGAGTCCTAGTTTCAAGGGAAGCAGAAAACAAGTCTGCTCCGGGTCTTCACCAAATGCAGAGTGCAGTGGTTGTGCTCAGGATCCACCCTTTCACATATAACTCAGCATCTGATCCCAGGTTATGATCTGCTTTAAACTGGATTATGAGTCTACCCTGCCATATAATTCAGTTCAATGCAAATAATACTAATAAACTGGGATCAGATGCAAGGGCATGTGGCAGTTTAGAAGGGGCCCCAAACACCTGGAAGACTAGAACAGGGGTCCTCGCGCTTTTTAGTTCGAGTCCCCCAGACTATACTTTGGAAAAACCACAAACGAATTCCTCTGCACACTGCATATATTTTATTTGTAGAAAGAACAATGCAATATATCTAAAATGAAGGTCAATTTTAACCAATGTCAACTGAACAGTATTTCAATGGGAAGCATGGGTCTGCTTTTGGCTGGTGAGCGAGTCAATGTCCAGTTGCATATTTGTCATTGCAAGTGTGTCAATGTATCGTTTTCCTTGACATAATTGTTTCCTAGGGAAACACATTAGCCATTACTTCTTTAAGTTGGCACATACCTATACAACATCTGCTGCTGTTGTGTAGGTAACTAGGAATTGAGGGACATGGCCCAAGCCAGTTTTGTCGCACCTGCCGTGTCCGTTGGGTCTTCACCAGATGCAGAGAGCAGTGGTCATGCTCAGGATCCTCCCCTCCCTTACTCGTGAGGTGGCGCAGTGAGTTAAAATGCTGAGCTGCTGAACTTGCTGACCGAAAGGTCGGCGATTCAAATCCGAGCAGCGGGATGAGCTCCCGTTGTGAGCCCCAGCTTCTGCCAACCTAGCAGTTTGAAAACATGCAAGGTGAGTAGATCAATAGGTGGGATGGTAATGGTGTTCCATGCAGCCATGCTGGCCACATGACCTTGGAAATGTTTATGGAGAATGCCGGCTCTTTGGCATAGAAATGGAGATGAGCAACACCCCTCCAGAGATTTAATGTCAAGGGGAAACCTTTAGCTTTACCTAGGGGGCTCTGAGAGGGCCCTTACAATGTTCCCATGGCACTTTGTGGCTCGTCCCTTTTCTTTCTTTCTTTCTTTCTTTCTTTCTTTCTTTCTTTCTTTCTTTCTTTCTTTCTTTCCTTATGGCAAGGGTCCTTGTGCTTGCAAACAAAGGGGGTGAGGGCTGGGAAAATTTCCTTGGGTTGTGCGGGGATGACATAGCCTATTTGTATGCATTTTTCAAAGTATAGGCAGTCCTCAAGTTACAAGTATCCTACTTACATATGACAGCGATGAGAAAACAGGAAATGAGAGAAATCTATCCCTCAGAAGGGAAATTCACTCCTGAAAGAGCTATCATGAGAAAGAGTGTCTCCTTTGAAGCTTTCTCACCAATCCTTGTTTTCATAAGAAGCCTTTTTTTTTTCAAAATCCAATTATCTCAGGAACAGAAAGTAAGGCAAAGTCTTCTGACAGCAAAACCAACACCACAGGCGTCATAACCCTTCCCTATGCTATCCAAAGTTTCTATCTATCTATCTATCTATCTATCTATCTATCTATCTATCTATCTGGAGGTATGCTTTAAAATGTACTTGTTCTGACTTACATATAAATGTACAAGTGGTCATTGCCTATAGAATGAGCTTCTTTATTAGAAGCAAATATTTTGCAGAGTTAATGATTCTTAATTGACCATCCAAGTTTGAATATTCCACAATAGCTCACAGCAATACACTGGCTTGGACAATCCAGCCATCTGGCTGCAATGGAGAGGAAACAGGGAAGCCTGGAGCAATTTCATAATCTTCCCTACTAACAAATCACCCCTAGCACATTAATCCTGCAAGCTCTCCTCCACTACAACAATGCTTCGGGTTTTTTGAAGACCAAGAAATGAGAGATTCTTGGCATACTGGTGTTTAGAGCTACCCTCCGATATTCAGTGCCCAAGTGAAAACTACACCATCCTATTCGTGTCCCAGTGTGCCCAAGATACCCCACAATCCTATAGTCGTGAGTCCAAGTATAGAATAACGTGAAACAAGGTCCAACATGGAGGCTGCAGCACTCCTAGCTTGAATGCATTGGCTGTATTTTGTAAAATCTACTTCCCGGATGGCACACAGATGATCAGTCTGGCACGTGGCATCACAGTATGTCAGATCGTATTGAACTGAGTTATACTTGTAGTACCGCTGGAGGTGTTCTTCTTCCTTCTCAAGCTTCTCCAGTAGCAAGTGCATAGAGTGGACAGAACCATCTGAGATCTGGAAGTCTTCTGTCAGGCCATACTCTTTCTTCCATTCAGGCGCTCTCAGGTTGGCATGGGTAAGGTTTAAATAATGAGTAACCATATCCTAAGACAATAAAAGACATTGCAAATCAACAAGTGGTAAGAACAAAAACATCTGGTTTCATTTATTTACAAAAGGGACCTGAAACAAAAATGTCACAATGCGCAAAGCTCCTTTGCAGTGTAACTGTGCTCTTTCCTAGAAGACTTCAATTTCAGTCATCACCACACTCTTTTTTATATCTCCCAAAACTGTCATTCACTTTCCCATAGCCTGAAGGCATTTTTAGTACAGGTGGCATATTTATTTATTTATTTATTTATTTATTTAGGGTATTTCTATGCCGCCTTTGTCAGCCCAAAGGCAACTCAACTGGCAACCATTGATGCCACAATTGTCATAAAACACAATTAAAAACATTATAAAAACCATATAAAAATAGTTACAAACATACAATCACCAGTGACTTCCTGTTAACTCAGTTTCCAAAAGCATTGACTAAGCTATTTCATGTCCACTCTTTCCTGGTTCTATATTCATCCATTACACTGCATTTCCAAAGGCTTGTTCAAAGAGCCAGGTTTTTACTTTTTTTTCGGAATGTCAGTAGGGAGGGGACCAATCTAATATCCCTAGGGAGGGAGTTCCATAGCCAAGGGGCCACCACTGAGAAGGCCCTGTCTCTCATCCCCGCCAGGCAATGAAGGCAGGATCCAGAGCAGGGCCTCCCCAGAAGACCTTAAGTTCCTAGCTGGTTCATAAGGAGATACGTTCTCACAGGTAGGCTGGGCCAGATTTCTGCAAAACGTGGAGTTCCCTTGAACTTCCTGATTGTAAGAGCTGTTCAGCAGTGGAACTCTCTGCCTTGGAGTGTAGCGGAAGCTCCTTCTCTGGAGATTTTTAAACATGGCCATCTATTGGAGGTGCTTTGATTGTGCTTTTCCTGCATGACGGGATGGACTGGATGACCCTTGTGGTCTCTTCCAGCTCAATTAGTCTATGACTCTATCATCCTAATAGGTTCTTCTTGAGCATGGATAGCATTGTTTTGGTTATGGCAGAATCTGTATTCACTCATGAATTTGACAATGATACAAACTTTGCTGTCTAGATATACTATAGTTGCGCCATTGTTAAGATCCCACTTGTACCTTCCTGCCTACATCAGATTGCTGTAGACCAATGAGAATGTGTCTTTAATTCTCTCTCAAAGTGATAAAAGCCTTGCAACCACATTTGGGGGTGCAACGAACCTTTTTATGCTCTATGTATTCTGTCCCTTTGGACTTCAATAAACAGCTTCTGCAGTTGAAAGAAGCTTATTTTTTCTGGTTATTTAATATTTAATGTGTATTTTACTTAAGTGATATTTGGCTTTACTGTTCTAATGTAGTACAAATCCTATGTAAAATCACACTACCTATTTTTGACATTAATATTGAAATCTGCAATATATACAGATATATATAGAGGGCAATGTCTTCCATTACATCGTCCTCTTGAGCCCAAGGGACTCCTGACAACGTGCAGAGAGCTGGAGGAGTGCCAGTGAGTCATTGTCCCACTGATTGACATTCAAAGGCATGCTGCCTCTGATCCTGTAGGCAGGATACTGCCATCATGAGGTAGTTTTATTGCCTGTTACCTAATTCCCTTTGGAAACCATCAAAATTGGTGGCCATCATCAATTCTAATAGTTAAATATGCAGTGTATGAAGAAGAATTTCCTTTCAGAGGACTGCAAGGATTCTATTATTAGGATTGTTGTTGATGTGTACCTTTGAGTGATTTCTCCGGGAGACACTAAGAGGAAGCTATCATGGTTTTTTATGCAAATTCATTCAGAGGGTGTTTGTTGTCGTTCTTAGAATGAGAGAGTGTGATTGCCCAAGATCACCTAAGTGTTTCTACAACTAAGCAGGGATTCGAATCCTATTCTCCCAGGATCATAGTCCAACACTCAGACTACTACACCACACTGACTCTTTAGGATTAGAGTGCGAGGATCCATATAACTTTATCTATACCAGTGCTTAATTTTATATGTTCCATCATTTCCCCTTTTCCCCCTAAAACATAAAGGACTCAGTTTTCTGCTAGAATACTATCATTCGCTGGGCATGTTGTTAGGTCTCACATAGACCCAGAATTATTTTCTACAGACACATTCAATTTAAATTTTCCCCCTACCTTAACTTGCAGGGTGTTGCGGTCGTATGTGAACAACCGGATGCCAGGATTGTTGGCTCCATTGTGCACGCCTGGTAAGGTTGTTTTCCAGGGTGTTACAGCTGGAGCTAAAAACATAACACTGATAGGGGAACCTGAAAGAAAAGGCCAAATGAAATTAAACATTGATTGATGTTGCGGGTTTTATTTTTTTTCATCTGTCCCATTACATTATATGACATCACATAACAGTAGTATAAAACAACATAGCAGCAATTAACAGTTAGCAACAGTTTCTGCATTACAACAATAAAACCAATAAAACCAATAAAAACCACTTACACCTAATTAACGGTCAGCGTTCGCCATCTCATAGTCCAATTTCCAATTCCACTTTGTCAGTCCTGTCAGTCCTAGTCGTCTGATTGTCCTTATCTAGTTGTCAGATTGCCCAAAGGCTTGGTCCCACAATCACGTCATTAATTTCCTCCTGAAGGAGAGGAGGGATGTTGATGACCTAATTTCCCCCGGGAGTGAGTTCCACAGGTGAGGGGCCACCACTGAGAAGGCCCTGCTCCTCGTCCCCACCAACCTCACTTGTGATAGCGGTGGGGTCAAGAGCAGGGCCTCCCCAGATGATCTCAAACTCCAGAGTGGAACGTAGAGGGAGATGTGTTCGGACAGATACGCTGGACCGGAACCGTATAGGGTTTTGTAGGTCAAAACCAGCACCTTGAATTGTGCTCGGAACGGAACCGGCAGCCAGTGGAGCTGACACAGCAGGGGGGTGGTGTGCTCCCTGTATGACGCTCCGGTGATCAATCTGGCTGCCGCTCGCTGGACCAGTTGAAGTTTACCAACATTCTTCAAGGGCAACCCCACGTAGAGTGCGTTGCAATAATCTATTCAGGATGTAACAAGAGCGTGGACGACTGTGGCCCCCTCTTGAGTCTCCCATGAGAAAACAAATCTGCCCTAGCACTCTGTGCATGGCTGAAGGCTACACTCTGGGCTTTTCGGAAAGCAAAATGCGATTGCAATCAGTTACCAGGTCCTGCTTGTAACACTATTCAATGTATTGGTGTTACCACCAAGCAAGATAGAGGGGACTCCTACAAAGATATAAATGTCGTAAATAAATAGATAGATAGACAGATAGATAGATAGATAAATAAATAAGATGCCTTCCTGATCACTCGCCCTGGATCCACTCAAACTTCTCTGCTTTGTTGTTTCCACTGTGCTTTTATTTGGTCATTGTGACCTTTATTTTTATGACTATTATTTTGTTGAAAGTTGTTCTAGAAATTTTACAAATATTATCGCTGCCATCACCACCCCCTCTTTATTTATATTTGTTGTTTATTCAATCAGTCGCTTCCGACGCTTCATGACCTCATGGACCAGCCCACGTCAGAGCTCCCTTCAGCCATTGCCACCCCCAGCTCCTTCAAAGTTGAGTCAGACACTTCAAGGATACCATCCATCCATCTTGCCCTTGGTCGGCCCCTCTTCCTTTTTCCTTACATTTTCCCCCAGCATCATTGTCTTCTCATTATGTTTGCCTCTAATATCCTTCCCTCGTGAGCAATCCTGCAGTATGGACTGGGTTTGATCTTCTTGCGGTCCAAGGGTCTCTCCAAATTTTCCTCCAGTACCACAGTTCAAAAGCATCTATCTTCCTTTACTTGGCCTTCCTTATGGTCCAACTCTCACATCCATAGGTTACTACAGGGAATACCATTGCTTTAACTATGTGGATCTTCATTGCCAGCACGATGTCTCTACTCTTCACTATTTTATCGAAATTGGTCCTTGCTCTCCTCCCAAGAAGTAAATGTCTCCAGATTTCCTGGCTGCAGTCTGCATCTGCAGTTATCTCCCCACCTAAAAATACAAAGTCTGTCACCGCCTCCACATTTTCTCTCTCTATTTGCCAGTTATCAATCATTCTGGTTGCCATCATCTTGGTTTTTTGATGTTTAACTGCAACCCAGCTTTTGCACTTTCTTCTTTCACCTTGGTTATAAGGCTCCTCAGCTCCTCCTCGCTTTCAGCCATCTAAGTGGCATCATCTGCATATCTAAGGTTGTTAATGTTTCTTCCTATATTCTTATTTATATAGTCCGATCAATGTACCTGGCACTTTATAGAATCAAGCAACAACAACATAAAGACAGACAGCCCTGCCAAAGGTATACAATCTAAATATAGATACCAGTTCTACCAATTGCCCTGCTATGAAAGAGCTCCCGAACCGTGCAACATTCAAGGGAGTGTACCTGCATTATTGTAGAACATTCTAAAACTATCTGTGTGATGATGTCCAAAGAACTGTGCTACAACCACTCCATGATGTCGCTGGATTATTTCTGTATATCGTTGGTTAAAGTGTTCTCGGAACCAGGGCTTGCCTCGTTTCTTTTCAAAAAAGCCAGGAGGGACATGCCCAATAATATAGACCTACAAAGGAAAGGAAATGTATAAAGGCCCCACATACAAATAATTGGAGCTGACATAATTGGGGGAGCAGGAATGATGTGAACCATTTTCTGAAAAAAATAGGCCATCTTTTGTGAGACATGCTAACCGCGTAGCTCTCAGCTGAGTAGGTTAATGGGCCTCTTGTGGTTTCCTAGCTTCAGTATGTTCCATCCCACCCCAATTCTCAAACCTGAAAGATTTAACTAGTGACAGTTAAGAGGTTTCAGTTCAAATAGGTAGATCTTTTTGGCCCAAGTCTTTTTTTTTAATCATCACAGGAATGCAGATCTTGAAACTGAATCTATATAAATAAAATGTAATGTTAGTTTGTGAGATTAACATAACTCAAAAATCACTGGACAAATTGACACCAAATTTGGACACAATAAACCAGTCAGGCCAACGAGTGACCACCGCTCATAAAAACACTGAAAAACATAGCAGAAAAGACTTTTAAAAGAAAAGAAACAAAAAAATACATTATAACACATGCACAAAACCACATATATACACAAACACACATATATACACATATATACAAATATACACGCACAAAACACATATACACAGACTGGGCCACAGTAACGTGTAGCAGGGGACGGCTAGTCTATATAAATAAAAATGTAATGTTAGTGTGTTGGATTAACATAACTCAAAAACCACTGGATGAACTGACACCAAATTTGGACACAATACACCTATCAGGCCAACGAGTGACCATCACTCATAAAAACACTGAAAAACACAAAAGAAGAAAAAAAACACATTAAAACGCATGCACAAAACTACACACACACATATATGCAAACACACATAAATACACATATACACAAATATACACACTCACATATACACATATATACACACACAAAACACATAGACACAGACTGGGCCACAGCAACACGTGGCAGGGGATGGCTAGTTTGGAATAAAGTTTGGCTCTTGGTCTGAAAAAGGCCTCCCACATTCCTTACTGCAACAGCTTCACTGAGAACCAGTCCACTTCTGGGCAGAATTCAAATTCTTAGTGCTAACACTTATCAGCCCCTTTGAGTTCTAAGATTTTCTGGAGGGACCCTTCTCTCTGTCCCACCACATTCTCAGGCTTGTTTGGTGTGAAGAAGGGAGAGGGGCTTCTCAGTGGCTACTCCCTGACTTTGGAAATCCCTCCTTAAGGAGACTGGATGGCCCTGTCCTTGCTTTCCTTCTGTCAGCAAGTTAAAACATTCTTATCCTTCCAGGTTTGTAGAAACTGTATGAGTTAGATTTATAGTAGTATTCTTGTTAGAAGTTGCAGCAGCTTCTGCATCTGTTTTCGCCATTCTCTTGTCCACTAGGAATTAAATGGCTTAGATAGAGAAAGAGTAGGAATTTGGCCTTCCTCTTCTTGCCCATCTGCCTGCTGTCCCAAAGCAATATGGGCAGATTACATGATTACTCAAATAACTGCCCCTTTTGTACCAAAGACAGGACTCGCAGGTTCGGATCCGGGGAGAGGCGGATGAGCTCCCTCTATCAGCTCCAGCTCTTCATGCGGGGACATGAGAGAAGCCTCCCACAAGGATGATAAAAACATCAAATCATCCAGGCGTCCCCTGGGCAACGTCCTTGCAGACGGCCAATTCTCTCACACCAGAAGCGACTTGCTCCTGACACGACCAAAAATAAATAAATAAATAAAACACACTTCTAGAATACTTAATTGAGGATCAGGCTGTTCTATCTAAAGCAGTGGTTCCCAAGCTGTGGTCCGTGGACCACCAGTGGTCCGCAAGAACTAAAATATGGTCTTCGGCCTTACCGTTACTAAACCGGATTGTTATGAGTTTTCCAGGCTGTATGGTTATGTTCCAGAAGCATTCTCTCCTCAGATTTCTCCTGCATCTATTGCAGGCATCATCAGAGGTTGTGAGGTCTGTTGGAAACTAGGAAAATGAGGTTTATATATCTATGGAATGTCCAGGGCGGGGGAAAGAACTCTTGTCTGTTTGAGGCAAGTCTGAATCTTGCAATTGGCCACCTTGAATAGCATTTAATAGCCTAGCTTCTTACTGCCTGGAGAAATCCGTTGTTGGGAGGTGATTAGCTGGCCCCGATTGTTTCTTGCCTGGAATTCCCCTGTTTTTGAGTGTTGTTCTTTATTTACTGTTATGATTTTAGAGTTTTTAAAATACTGATAGCCAAAATTTGCTCATTTTCATGTTTTCTTTCTGTTGAAATTGTCCACATGCTTGTGGATTTCAATGAATTCTCTGTGTAGTCTGACATGATAGTTGTCAGAATGGTCCAGCATTTCTGTGTTCTCAAATAATATGCTGTGTCCAGGTTGGTTCATTAAGTGCTCTGCTATGTCTGACTTCTCTGGTTGAAGTAGCCTGCAGTTCCTTTCATGTTCCTTGATTCATGTTTGGGCGCTGTGTTTTATGGTCCCTATGTAGACTTGTCCACAGCTGCATGGTATACAGTAGACTCCTGCAGAGGTCTATAGATGCAGGCGAAACATCAGAGGAGAATGCTTCTGGAACATGGCCATACAGCCTGGAAAACTCACAACAATTCAGTGATTCTGACCATGAAAGCCTTCGACAATATGTTACTACACTGTTGCAACGAGTGCGACTGGTCTCGCGGAACCCTCTTATAGTGCAGAGGCTTATTAAATATGGTTTTCTGTGGCCGAGCAAACTACTAGATGGCATATGTTCTATTTCAGTCACTAGAACTGATGTGGTCTATCCAATACAATTTTCTGAATCAGAACCCCGAATAACCAAACTGAATCTAAAGTTGAACAGAAACTGATTTGTAATCCTTTTGGTACCAATGTTGAAAAGTGGTCCCTGGTCAAAAAAAGGTTGGGAACCACTGATCCAAAGAGTGGGTTCCTTTAATTAATAGTCCTCCTTTTGAAGATCGTAAACTCAATTTTCTATCTCCAGCTCTCTATAAATTTTAAATATTTTAAATTGTTTAATTGTCTGTATTGTTTTAAAATATGTGCTGCTTTGGCCCCCATTCTCTGAAGAAAAGCAAAATATGAATGAATAAAATAATAATGATCTGTAAGGAAACTTACCTTTTCTCCTGCATCTGCGGCACTAGTCAGTGTTTCCTCCAGCCATTTGAATTGGCCTCCTGGATCCTCCAGGCTAATTGTTTGTTTATTGTTGTCATAGTACAGATTTGTATTGAGGACAACCATTCGTCTTGCTGGCCTGGAACTGGATAATAACTGACTATAAAAAGCACCTGAAGGGAGAAAAAACCACAATAACACTGTTTGTTTTATTTGAAATATTTTCTTTCAAAGGAAAGCCCCTAAAGATAGTTTTCTATGTCAACATTTCACAACAATCTATATAAATAAAAACGTATTTGTCCATTTGTGAATGACCTCAAAACTCTCAAAATACTTCACTGATTGTTTTGAAATTTGGACATAACATAGCATTCAAACAGGTGAATGTTTTTATGTATTCACATACCTACTATTATATAGATGTCACACCTGTGACAGGTAAAAACATGTTTGGCATCAAAAACACTGGCATCTGCTGGTTGTCCAAGCAACATATCAGAAAGCGACCCCGTCAGGGCCAGAGCTTTTCCAAGTTCTCATCTGACATGAACAAGGTATCTTTCCAAGTCCCATTACTGTGGTAACAACCTATTTTCTTATACCCCCTAAAATCAGCATATTTCAGGTGGACATGTTGGATTCCTCTTTAAGCTCTCCCTCCTAAAGTGCCCCAAATGGATATAGCACACCCACCTGCTCTGAACATCTGCACAGAGTGGTTGCTAAGCCAAGGGTGCCAGAGATCTGCTGTTGCGTGGTAGATCCTGTTCTCCCCAGCTGGGAACTGGTTTTTGGGGTGGAAGTCATGGTTGCCCATTGCAGGATATACCTGAGTATCTAAAGGAAGCAGAAGTCAGAAAGCATGGTAGGGACACCAGGAAAAAGAGAAGGATTTTTCTGCCCAACTTTGCAGAACAAATATCAAAAGTGTGCAGAACAAATATCAAATATCAAGTGATTGAGGCACACTACCCCTTTGAAAAAATCAGGAAATGCAGAAAATATATTGATTTATCTCTCTTGTCACTGCCTGTTGTCACCCAATAATTCAGGGACATTCTTACCTGGAAAGACATGTTTGATCAAGTTAGTGAGCTTTTCAATTATCCTCAACACAGATTCTTCACCCAGTTTCTCATCAGGCACATGAGGAGTGTCATCCCTGGAAAATAGCAGAAACTCAAAGATATGTATGCTAATAGACAATGGCCAATTCTTTGGTTGGCCCATGCACAGAAATTGATTAAGTAGGGGACAGGTATAGAGATAATATAGATTCTGATTGTGTGAAATAACAAGTGAACAAGGAACCTACTACTCACAGCTAATACTAAAGGGATAGTAGTTTATGTTTCCTTATCAGGAAAAAAAAATGCTTGTCTCTCAATATGCTGATAGAGGAGGTGGCAGTAGCAACCTGAGATGGGACATAATCAGAACTCAGTTCCACAAACCGCAGCCAGCATGATTTGTGACTGGGAATTCTGAGAGATATAGTGTATAGGTAACTTTTTCTAAACTCTGGACATTTGTCTTCTATTGCTTTCTCATCCGGAAACCTTTGTTCCGAGTTAGTATGGATCCATGCTTCCTTCAACATCCTACTCACTCATGTGCGTGGAATTCCAAGCATCTGCCTGCATGGGATCCCTGGTTATCTATGGCAGTGGTTCTCAACCTGTGGGTCCCCAGATGTTTTGATCTACAACTCCCAGAAATCTCAGCCAGTTAGCACACTATTTATTTATTTATTTATTTACAATATTTCTACCCCCGCCTTTCTCAAACTTGAAGGTGACTCAAGGCAGCTTTACAACATAGGCAGCTATTTGATGCCATTAAAACAATTTAAAAATTACAATAAACATTTAAACAAAATTATAAAATACATACATTAAAACCTTTCAAAACATATAAGACCACTACATTCATTATTAGCCTCATCGTCCAAAAACATCATCTAAGCAATTCCAGTATTTGATTTCACATTGTTCCGTGTTTATTTATTGCACTAGGTTCCCAAAGTCTTGTTCAAAAAGCCATGTTTTCACTTTTCAGGAGGGAAGGGGCTGATCTAATCTTCTTAGGGAGGGAGTTCCACAGCTGAAAGGCCGCAATTGAGAAGGCCCTGTCTCTCGTCCCTGTGAAGAAGACGGGATCGAGAGCAGGGCCTCCCCAGACAATCTTAAACTCCTGGATGGTTATAGGCTAAAGCCAGCACTTTGATTTGTGCTCGATAGCAAACCGACAGCCAGTGGGGCTGGCATAACAAGGGAGTTGTTATGCTCCTTGAATGCCACTCTGGTGAGCAATCTGCCTGCCACCCGTTGGACCATTTGAAGCTTCCGAACAGTCTTCAAAGGCAACCCCACATAGAACGGGTTGCAGTAGTCTATACATGATGTAACCAGTGCGAGGACTACTGTGGCCAAGTCAGATGTATGTTTTAATTGTGCAAATGTTCCCCTGGCCACCCCCGAGACCTGGGATTCCAGGCTCAGCTATGAGTCCAGGAGAACTCCCAGGCTGTGAACCTGTGTCTTCAGAGGGAGTGTAACCCCATCCAACACAGGCTGTAACCCTATGCCCTGTTCAGCCTTGTGACTGACCAGGAGTACCTCTGCCTTGTCTGGATCCAGTTTCAATTTGTTCGCCCTCATCCAGACTGTCACAGCTGCCAAGCACTAATTCAAGACCTGAACAGCCTCCTTAGTAGCAGGTGGAAAGGAGTGATAGAGTTGAACATCATCTGCGTACAGATGACAATTGTTTAATATGGGCTCACTCGGACATTGTGCAACAGACTGCTTACCCTGTCCAGAGAATGAAGTCAGGGTCAGGAAGAATCTCCTTCATGGCATAAATGGAAGAGTTGACAAGACTCCAGGGAGCATCACACAAATAATGACCCCAGGCCCCTGCGTTGGTCACTGGCTGGGTGCCAGCAGATGGGCATACCTTCAAAGGGTCTGGTGCCACCTGGTACTCTGGGTCTAGGTGTAGGTCTGTAATGTGCCAAAAGTAACCTGCTAAAGACAAAATAGCTATGATCCAATTGTTTTACTCTGCATTTCATCAAATATTACATCTAGTTAGAGCTTGGACATTTTTAGTTTTTGGACAACAATTCCAGATTCCAAGTCCAAGCCAGGAAAATTTCCAATCTCTGGAATGGATTATACAACTCAGATTCAAATGTGTCCATGTAACTGACTAAATTGACATATTGAACACTCAGTTGTCCCTTCATGTTTAGGAATTTCTCTTTAGCTAATGTTCACAAGTTTGCAGCTGCCACTTAACAAGCTCAACTTCCTTGCCACCTCCGCCTCTCAATCTCCTGTCCTTTCAACAGCACTATTCGGATTTTAAAACCCTTTCCAACCCTCAATCTCATATCCCCACTCCCTTTCCAAATCTTTCCAGTCCTTCCAAAAGAGCCAGCCAGGTTTTAAGCCCCTTTCAAACTCTTTAAAGCACATGTGTCAAATGCAAAGCCCACGGGCCAAATCTGGCCTGCTACATCATTTTATGTGGCCCAGGAGGTTTGCAATAGTTACATTTATACACTCTGCCAATTACAAAGCATGGCCAATTACAAAGCAGCATGGGAGTCTGAGTTCAAAACCTTTGGTGGAGTAAAGTTTTCCTAGGCATGCTGTAAACCAGTGTTTCTCAACTTGGGCATTGGGACCCCTGGGGGGCGGGGGAATGTCAAAGGGGTCACCAAAGACCATCAGAAAACACAGTATTTTCTGTTGGTCATGGAGGTTCTGTGTGGAAAGTTTGGCCCAATTCTATAATTGGTGAGGTTCAGAATGCTCTTTGGTTGTAGGTGAACTATAAATCCCAGCAACTACAATTCCCAAATGTCAAGTCTACTGAGTTTCTGCCTCCTCTGTTGGAAGCACTTCATAATCAACAGAAAAAACACTTGGGGTGAAACAGAAACGGGGCAGGAGAAGGGGGGTCTCTCTGCCAGTCCTGTTTCCCAAATGGGCAGAACAGCAGAGCTTGGAAATGTTACTTTTTTGGACTACAATTCACAAAATCTCCCACTAGCCATGGTGCTGTAAATTTCATGGAATTTAAAGTCCAGATGGTAACTTTTCAAAGCTCGACTTCTCACTAACCTATGGCTCCTTACTCAACAGGATACCATCAAGACATTTCTCAATCCAGATCCAAACTTCCTATAAGTCAGGTGCTCATGAACAGGATTTTCTAGATTGAAAGCATGGGTGGAGATGCCAAGCATGGGCATGCTCTCAGCTTATGCATGGCCCTGACAAAGAAAGTTTGGATGCATTAAATGCCTTTGATTTAATCAGTGCTTCATCATGTTTTCCCTTCCCCTGGAAAGATTGAAACACACATGACCAAGGGAAGATCTTATCTGACCCATAATCCTGAGGCCAATCTGATGTGGCATATACCAGATTGGACCCAGGACGGTTTTCACAATCACTACCACCACACATGCGCTGTGGAGGCAGGAGAGGGCACCAAGCCAATGGAAGGGTAAAAATCCAAAAGTTAATGAAATAAGCAAGTCCCAAAGGCAATAGGTATATTCAGAAAACAACGGTGAAAACCTGAACATGAATTCCAAAATAAGTCTAAGAAACAAGGAGCAAAACATGAGCATGAGTCTTGGGTCATGAACTAAGGCATGAGCTAGAAACGAGACAGGAGTTGCTCACTCCAGTAGCAATGTTGTTTGATCTAAAATCCTAACAGCTCTCTCGCTAATTTAAGGACTGCAAACATGAACACTTTCCTTTGACCTTGAGAGGCCTCTTTTTGCCTCTTTCTCATGGATGCTTTCCGATTTCCTGCATCTGAATCTCAGCCTCCTCAGAAGCAGCCTGGTATCTCTGTCTAAGCCAGCCACTCCCTCAGATGAGCCAATGCTATCCTCCTCTCCCTGCCTGTTGGATTCCAAAACAGTTCCACTTTCACACTATGTCTCAGCAACAACATCTTGCTCCAAAACCCCCTCTGTTCCCTCATCTACAGAACCATCTTGCTCTAAAACCCCTGTTTCCTCACCTACAAAACCCTCAGGCTCTGAATCCTCAAACCACTCATCTTCACCTGGCTGAACCACATCTCCTCCCTTTCTTTCCTACAATTGCCCCAGCTGACATCACTGCAGGCAACAGCTGTCTGGTAGGACCCATGTAGCAGCTGAAAACTGGCACAACATGGAGAACAGGAGAGAATGCTAACTGCCATTCTGTATCCCCAGGCTGCCTAAGCCTGGGAAACATGGGATGGGAGTGAAAACAATTGGGGACATTTCCATCTTGGAACTGGCCCAACTCTTTACACAGTTTCAAAGTTAGGAGATACACTTTAAGTAACATTACCCCTGTTCAGCTCTGTGCAGTGTTTGGATGCCACAGAGCTGATCCAGGCCTTTTTACATTAAGTGGTTAGTGCAGATATGCCATTAGTCTAGCAATAGTAAGCATGGGGCTTTTCTAGATACTGTAGACTGCCATTTCCACCCACCATAGCCAATGGTGAGCTTCAGTATTGCAATATCTGGAAGACCACACATTCCCAAACCTGCTTTAATATCTCAGTCCTACTGGCCATGGCTGATTCTAGAATGGGGCAGGAGCAGACTGAGTAGCATTGCACATACATGGCTTTGCTCCTATGCTACATGCAATATTGTCAGTGAAGACATGGCAGTGAGATATTGCAAAGTCCAAATTGTGTGCATTATGTAAACTGCCACCCCCCCCCCCTTTGCTACCCTTTTGTTCTTCCTGATAGTATTGAAATACAGCTGCTATCATCAGCCTTCATCACTTATGGGACTGACAGGTCAGAAGTTCAAATCCTGGGAGAGCACAAATGAGCTTCTTCTGTCAGCTCCGGCCTCCCATACAAAAGCCTCCCACAAGGAAGGTAAAACAACAAAAACATCTAGGTGTCCCCTGGACAACGTCCTTGCAGACGGCCAATTATCTCACACCAGAAGTGACTTGCAGTTTCTCAAGTCGCTCCTGATATGGAAAAAAAAATATGGGAATTGTAGTTGAGCAACTCCAAGAGGGCCACACAATCTCCACTCCTGCTTTAGGTGAGGTGGAAAATACTGCTTTGTCTCCCCTTCCCCCAGGTTAAGTCAGATCCTGTACATGGGACCAAAGTATGGCCCTTTTGAATGAGCATCAGAACGTCTCAGGCTGTAACCATGAGCTCACACCACTTCCCCTAATTCTAATTTATGAAGCAATCTCTCAGCGCACGTAAGCCCCACAAACTATTAATATACATATATGCATTACCTGAATCAGCTGTTATGATTCTGAGATGTATTAGCAACAACAGGATTCTCCACAGATCCATCCTTGTCCACAACGTTTGCCACCAAATTCACGAGCAAACAATTTACTTTGTCTTCTGCACTCTCAGCAGAGAGAGAACGTAATCAGACCTGCTTTATTTTTGGACGTCCTGGATTTGACTCACTGGCTGCTAAAGGAATTCCATTTGGCATCCAAAAATTGTCTCCGCCTACTTAGATTACTCACATAATTAAAAAAAAACATGCTTAAGTTTTGGTGGCTTTTTAAAACAGTCGACTCCCTGACATTCCAGAATCAAACTCTGAGAGAGAGAGAGAGAGAGAGAGAGAGAGAGAGACTAGGGGAAAACGTACTACTCCAAGGATTCAATATTTGAAATTAATCGTTTGCTGACTTTGCAGAGTTGGCTTGTTTATTATTTCCAACACAGGAAGGCTTTCAGTGACAAAGGTCATTCTGGGTTAAAGATCTGTCTGAAACCAAAGTTCACTATGGACATTATAATGTCCATTATCACATGTGTTTGCTGCTTTTTGGAGTGCATGATTGCACTGCTAATAGCATGACGTTTCCTACTAGTGGCATTTCAGCCCCTTCCCCCTATTGTTTCACTGTACCTTTTAATTAATGGGAAACTAAGCTATATTCAGTTACATTCACACAATAATTGCCTTGTGAATATGGATGCCCACCTTTCATTATGAACTGCCATGCTGGATTCAAAGGGACAAAAATTGTCACTGATTGGAACCCTCAGAGTTCTGCTGCTATCGGTGCCAAATTAGGTTTGACACTGATAACAACACTATCCTTTGGCAGCATAACTAATTTGTATAAGATGGGGATTTGTAGCACATTGTCATCCACTGGAGTTGGCAATACTTATTGTGGGAGGTACAGAGAGAGAGGAACAAACACATAGGAAACCGAAAAAGCGTTACTTTGGAACTGCAAAATGGCATATTGATTAAGACACAATATGGTGCATTCTCAAGATAATGGGCCAAATCTAAAAACTGTGCGATTCTTGAAGTTAGAAAATGGAAAGCCAAGCACAGGTAGGGAGGAGTAGTCTATGAAGTAGTGTGGTAAGCAGATAGCACAATCTGTTAATAGATAATTATTTATTTATTTATTTATTTATTTACGGCATTTGTAGCCCGCCTTTCTCAGCCTTACGACAACTCAAGGCGGCTTACAGAAATTTGCAGAATTTGATGCCATACATTCATAAAGTACAATTAAAAACATTCAACCTAATATTATGAAAACCATATAAACCATTAAAATCATTAAAAAATCTATTGTGTACTATTTTGGGGACCCTGAAAAAGGAAGAATAGCTATGCAATTTATCTTGTGCATTTGGTCCGCCCATTGTGTTTGACTTTCTATCATATTATTTTGCACTGTTTATTTTATCTAAAGTGTTATTGTTATTATCTTGTTACATTATGTATTTTATCGTGATTTAATTTTTTGTTGGGTTGTTGTAGGTTTTTTCGGGCTATATGGCCATGTTCTAGAGTCCACATAGCCTGAAAAAACCTACAACAACCCAGTGATTCCGGCCATGATAGCCTCGGACAATTTTTTTTGTTGTTTTGTATTTTATTTTGAAGTATTGCATTTTTGGACTTGGCCTCATGTGAGCCGCCCCGAGTCCCCTTGGGGAGATGGTGGGGTATAAATAAAGATTATTATTATTATTATTATTATTATTATTATTATTATTATTAATGCAAATGTGTTCCCAACTTCACAGAGGACCAGATTGCAGCTCTAATAAATGCTAACAGACCAGCTTGTTAGTTCTCCCGGATTAATCATTAAGCCTGGAACCCCAGGCCTTTGTGGTGGCCAGGGGAGCTTTTGCACAATCAAAACTAGTGTGCCAGTTGCACCCGTAACTTAGGAAGTCACACTTGGCCATGGTGGTCCACACTCTGGTTACATCCCGAATAGATTACTGCAACGTGCTCTACATGGAGTTGCCTATGAAAACTGTTCGGAAGCTTCAAGTAGTCCAATGGGTGGCAGCCAGATTACTCACCGAAGCAATGTACAAGGAACGCACAACCCCCCTGTTATGCCAACTCGACTGACTGCCAGTCTGCTACCGAGCACAATTCCAAGTGTTGGCTTTAGCCTATAAAGCCCTAAATGGTTCTGGCCCAGCTTACCTATTCAAATGCATCTCCCTGTATGAAACACCTTGGAGATTAAGATCGTCTGGGGAGGCCCTACTCTCAGTCCCACCTCCCTCACAAATGCAGTTGGTGGAGACAAGAGACAGGACCTTCTCAGTGGTGGCCTCTTAGCTGTGGAACTCCCTCCCTAGTGAAATCAGATCAGCCCCCTCCCTCCTGACCTTCAGAAAAAACTAAAAATGTGGATGTGGGACCAAGCTAATCTCTCAGTACAATATGTGAATGCAGAATGGTACAATGACGGTTGGAACGTCCTTGGATTATGATGTTGGATCACATGGTTTTTTAATAATTGATTTTAATGTTTTGAGATGTTTTTAGCAGATGGTTTTAATGTATATCTATATTTGTCAGATGTATGCTTGTGCGGCATCTAATTGTGCCTTATATGTGAGCTGCTCTGAGTCCCCTTCGGGGTGAGAAGGACGGGGTATAAAAATGGCAAATAAATAAATGTTGCGATAATGCCCTACATTAAAGTCTGTTTTAATGGGTTTGTGATGAGCAAGGGCACTGTTTGTTTGCTTATTTATTTGTCCCTGCTGCAAGCAGAAGCCATTGGTAGAATGCACTAGAACACTGTCCATAACAGAGCTCCTCTGGATTTTGGTCTCATGCAACTTGGCTGCTGCCTTGAAGGCAGGGCATCCTGCATTATATCACTATATTTAAATCAGAGAAGAAAAGAAAATAAGTCCAAAGTCCAAAATTCGCTATGCAATAAATGAATCTGCAAGAGAGATAAGCATATTCACTTGTACCTTTATTTATTTATTTACTTTATTTCTATACCGCTTTTCTCAGCCCTTAGGCGACTCAAAGCGGTTTACATAACAATGCAAAATATCACAAAACAGTATAATTCAATTAAAACAGATTATAACATCAACAATTAACAACAGTAATCATAACGCCTCAACAATAAAATCAGAATCCACTCTCATTATCCATTGTTCCGTATTCCTATGTTCAATTTCACTGTTTAGTCAAACGCTTGTTCGAATAGCCAGGTCTTCACCTTCCTCCGAGACTCCAACAGTGAGGGGGCCGATCTGATGTCTGCGGGTAGGGCATTCCACAGCCGAGGGGCCACCACTGAGAAGGCCCTGTCTCTCCCCGCCAGGCGCGCCTGTGATGCAGGTGGGACCGAGAACAGGGCCTCCCCAGATGATCTTAGTGTCCTGGTCCTAATTAGCAAGAAGCTAATTAGTGTCCTTTACCCTAATTAGCAAGAAGCAAGAAAGTTGCCAAAATGTAGCACTGCTACTATTTATTATTATTATTATTTACTTTACTTGTATACCGCTCTTCTCAGCCATTTGGCGACTCAGAGCGGTTAACAACCAGTATCAGCACACAGTACAAAATCATAATCATTTAAAACAGTAATATCAATCAATTAACATCAACATCAATACAGCAGTACAGAAAACAACAATCCATCACGTCTCATCAATAGAATCAGCATCCGATCTCATTGTCCATTAATCCATATTCCAGTAATCAATCAATTGTGCTGCTTAGTTGAAAGCCTGATCGAAAAGCCAGGTCTTCACTCTCTTCCTGAATGTCAATAAGGAGGGGGCCGATCTAATGTCTGTGGGAAGGGCGTTCCACAGCCGGAGGGCCACTACTGAGAAGGCCCTGTCTCTCGTCCCCTCCAGGCGTGCTTGAGAAGCCGGCGGGACCGAGAGCAGGGCCTCCCCAGACGATCTTAACGTCCTAACTGGTTCATAGGAGGAGATGCGTTCGGACAGATAGGTCGGGCCAGAACCATTTAGGGCTTTAAAGGCTAAAGCCAGCACTAGATGGCAAAAACCTGTCATTGACAGTCCACATGCCAAATGTGGAAATAAAAATGTGATTTTTTTTCAATTGGCCACCTTGATTATCATTTAATGACCTTGTAGCTTCAAAGCCTAGCTGATTGCTACCTAGGGAATCCTTTGTTAGCTGGATTGATTCTTGAATTCCCCTGTTCTTTGAGTGTTGCTCTTTATTTACTATCCTGATTTTCGAGTTTTTTAAATACTGGTACCTAGATTTTGTTTATTTTCATGGTTTCCTCCTTTCTGTTGAATTTGTCCACATGCTTGAAAATGTGAAAGTGCTTGTGGAATTTGATGATTAAATATAATAATTAGATTGTGATGTGACAGAAGGATTTTAAATACTATACTATTTCAATGGATCACCAAACATCTGAATAAAAACTCACCATACACAGACCACAACAGCAAAATTATCCAAAGTGACACAACTTGGAACATGTGTCAGTCCCTTTCATTCCTAGACACTTGGATAGAATCTCAATTCCATAGATTTTGAAATCAAAATGATAATAACAACAATGGCGATGTTAGCTAATATTTGCTTCTTTTTCAGGGCCTTATAGATCTTGTTGTTTTGTGTGGGGATTTTTTGTGTCAGGAGCAACTTGAGAAACTCTCTCATGTCCTCGCATGAGAAGCTGGAACTGACAGATGGGAGCTCTCCCCGCTGGGGTGAATACAGGCAGCAAAGAGGTTCCTGCTTACCTACACCTAAGCTTTGGCATCTATGGGTTGCCATAGATCGGTGGTTCTAAACCTTCCCAATGCAGCGACCTCTTAATACAGTTCTTCATGTCATGGTGACCCCCAACCATAAAATTATTTTCGTTGCTCCTTCATAACTGTAATTTTGCTACTGTTATGAATCTTAATGTAAATGTCTGATATGCAGGATATATTTTCATTCACTGGACCAAATTTGGCACAAATACCTGATATGCCCAAATTTGAATACTGGTGGGGTTGGGGGAAGGGGGATTGATTTTGTCATTTGGGACTTGTAGTTGCTGGGATTTATAGTTAACCTACAATCAAAAAGCATTCTGAACTCTACCAATGATGGAATTAAACCAAACTTGACACGGTTTGCAACAGAAAATATTGGAAGGGTCTGGTGAACTCTGACCTTGAGTTTGGGAATTGTACTTCACATACATCCAGAGAGCACTGTGGACTCAAACAATGATGGATCTGGACCAAACTTGGCACAAATACTCAATATGCCAAATTTGAACACTGGTGGAGCTTGGGGAAAATAGACCTTGACATTTGGGAGTTGTAGTTGCTGGGATTTAT